TATCAGATCTACATTTTTCAAGTTTTGCATTAGCCATTCTTTTAGATTTTGTGTAAAAAAATATGCTTGAGGTCGCTGCAATAAACACTTCCACACACTCATTGCCTTTTCACAATCACGAATCACATGCAGAGGAGTTTCCCACTGCTTGCAGGCTTCACATTCCCTTGCTGCACCCCATTTTTTGTGTCTTACACTATTAGCGTTTAATCTGCCATAGGCCAACATCCACAGAAAGCAACGAATCCTCTCAGGGCCTCTCCATTTCCAAATAATTCCCCATATTTTCTCCTTCCTCCCCAAACGATCACCCCTCACTTGACGATATCCACCTTTAACACTATAGGTCTTCGAATTATCAGAGCCCCAAAGGATTCTGTCTTCTCTTTCACCACTCTGAGGAGTGGCTTGTAGTCTTCTACAAGCCTTCTCAGTTAAAACATTCTGCAGTAAATCCCAATTCCATTGCCCATTCTCACATACCACATCAGCAACCACCCATTGAGCCTCCTCCTCTCCAATACTTCCCCTTTTCTCATTCCAAAGTAACACTTCTTGGTCTACCCATCTGTCCTTCCAGAAACTTATTCTTTCTCCCGACTCAACTCCCCACCACACCCCCTTATTCAGTTCGTCCCACACACCACTGGTATCTCTCCATAGGCTCGACAAATTTTAGGGAATTTTCAAATTATTCCCAAAATTCAAGCCCCCATTATATTTATGTTTGAGCACATCCACCCACAAACCTTCACTATTACTTCTTAATTTCCAACCCAATTTCATCAAGCAGGCACAATTCATGTCCTCCAAACATAGCACCCCCAAACCCCCATTCTCCTTTGTCTTTGAATCACATCCCAGTTAATAAGATGCATCTTCCTTTCTTCGGTGGTGTGCCCCCAAATAAAAGCCCTCTGAGCCTTCTCAATCTCCTCCATAATTTGCATAGGGAGCTTTGAAAAAATCATAGAGTAAATTGGAATGGATCCAATCACTGCCTTAGCAAGTGTTACTCTTCCGGCCATACTTAAAGAGTGCACCTTCCATCCCTGTAGCCGCCTCTTCACCTTCTCCACTAATCCTCCAAAACAGCGAACTTTGCTCCTTCCATAATACGTAGGGACACCCAAATAGGTACCTAAGTCTTCAGTCAAACAAAATCCAGCCTCTCTTACTATTTCCTCCCTTATATTAGCAGCAACATTCCTAGAAAAAACTATTGCAGACTTATTCTTATTCACTTTCTACACAGAACAAGCACAAAATTTATTTAAACACTCCATTACTACCTTTATCTGATCTACAGAAGCTTCTCCAAACAGAATTAAATCATCAGCAAACATTAAATGAGTCACCTCAAGACCCATTCTTCCTACTCGAATAGTCTCCCAAATCCCCTTTCTGACAGCTTCTTGGATTAAATGAGTCAACTTTTCCATCATTAGCACAAAAATATAGGGAGACAAGGGGTCTCCCTGTCTGATCCCCCTAGACGGATTAAATTTTTCTTTTTTAAATTCAATTTAAGCAAAGGTGATCGATTCAATAAAGAGTTTTTGACGTGCGCTTAAAAGCCATTAAATATTTACCTCTTCTTGTAAGCCAAAAAAGGAATGATCTCCCAGGTGAACGGAATCCAAGTTAAATGAGGGCTCCCGCTCACATTAGGCATATTCCTTTTCTTGCCCTTTGTTTTTCAACACAGTTAATACAAGTATTTAAGCCCTCGTTGTTCACTTTTGTTTTACTTCTATTATCAATAATAACAACGCTGAAAAACATACTCGCCAATTACCCATATCTTCTTTCGGCAAAGAACAATGAAGCTTTTAGACAAGGACTTCGCGCTGAACCAGCCGGGAACGGTCAAGATCATCCCCGAAGAACCCGACGACTTATGGGTGGTTTACAACCTCATCGCCATTGGAGACGTCGTTACAGCCGATACGACTCGCAAAGTTCACCTGGAGGCGACCAAGAACACCGCCTCACGTGTCAAAGTCACCATTCCCGTCAAAGTCACGCGCCGCGACTTCCAGAAAGATTCTTCCACCGTTCGCGTTCAAGGCAGGAACATCGGGACGAACCAGTACGTCGCGTCAGGCTCATTCCACACCTTGACCATCGAAATGAACAAAGGCTTCGAACTCTCTAAAAAGATTTGGGATTCCACGGCTGTGGCCGCCTTATCCGAAACCTCCAAGAAATCACCAGGCGCTGACCTCGCCGTAATTCTTATACAAGAGGGTCAAACAGAGGTTTATTTGGTCGGGAACGGGCCAACCACGCTTTGTTCTAAAATCAAAGATCCAAGGACTGGAAAGAAATCAGCCAGCAACGTGTTTTTTCGAGACATCTTTAACGCCTTCGTGAAGCATGTGGATTTCAGCACCATTAAAACCGTACTGATAGCGAGTGATGGACCAACAAAGGACGAGTTTCGTCAGTTTCTGCTCTCAGAAGCGAAAAGATTGAATATGAAAACAATCGAGAACAATAAGTCGAGAATTGTAGTGGCAGGATGTAAGGGAGATCTGAAGGAGGTGCTGAGCGACAAGGGAGTGATGAATATGATAAAAGATAGCAAGGTTGTGCTGGAGATTAGAGCTTTCCAAGAGTTGTGTGACTTGCTGGACAACAATTCGGGTCGGGCATGTTATGGTACAAAGCATGTGGAGGCTGCGCAGGAGATGATGGCGATCGACACCCTTCTGATCACGGACGATCTGTATAGAAGCTCTGATGCCAAGACGAGACACAAGTATACGAATCTGGCTGAATCAGTGAGGAAGGGAGGAGGGAAAGTGCTGGTGTATACCTCCATGCATGTCTCAGCAGAACAGCTTGCCCAGCTCACGGGTGTTGCCGCAACTCTGAGGTTTCCCTTGCCCGACCTTGACGACGCGGATGTTTAAGTTCAAACAAGGCTTTCTATATATATCAGTTTATCGTGCATCTCTTAGCTTGTTGTTTATTAATCAGGAGAGGAATGGCCCTTCCTCTCATTTGTGTATATAATGATCACTGACTCTTTATGCGTTGATTCTTACATAATCTTAGATGGTGCATTGCCTATGAGCATATCCCTCAGTAACACGATTGCCAAAATGTTTCTCAATTTTCTCCGTCAGATTTCATCCCTTTCGCCACATATCAAGTGCGATACAGTACGTCTGCAGGATCATATGAAACAAATCTCAAACCAAAATCCACATTTCACACTGTCTGTGAAATCTGATCCATCATAGTACTTAATGGAAAGTATATTGATGATTTCAATAAGTAACTAACATAAACTAAAGTGAGCCCCTCCGCATAAAATCCGAAATATACTGCACTAATCGTGGCTTACGAACAACTTGGTGTTCTATAACTTGGAAGGATGTACTTATTTCTGAAATTATAGGTAATGGAGTAACCCTACATAATGCTGTTGAACCCACATGAGCAGGGTGATGCAGTCGGACTATATATTGCTTTAAACTTTACTAGTCCAATCACTAAAAAGGACAGAACCTGCTTAAATCAACTTTTAACCCAATAAAAGATAGCTTCACCATAAATCTTCAATTGAGTAACAGATTAATCATTTTCTCAGTGAGAGTCTCGGTGATGGATTTGTTGCCAGCAAAAGACATAGGGTGCAGTGGAATATTATTTGGGACTTTGCAGCCTATTTTTGCTATCAGAAATAGGAGTATCTTCATGTGCAAAAAAAAGTATGTTCTGCACTATACATAGCTAAGGTGGCGTATGAGACATGTTCTGGGAAACTTAGTGAAATCGCATCTCTTGAACTGGCGACACTTGGGCCTTTGCCCAACAGTTTTAGTTTGATCAGGCAGAAAGTTCTTTTCTTTTTTTCTATTTTTTGGGGACTGTACAGGCAGAAAGTTCTTTAGAAGCCGCTTAATGGAAGCCACAATACACAAGCTTACCAACCCTCTGCAGATATACCTCATAATCAGGCACCTTGTATGGAAGTAACCTCATAGCTCAAATCCGCAAGTAATTTATGCAACATATACCAGCACGTACTGTTCCTTGTGCTCCCAAATACAATAGTCTTGATGTCTTGTTATATGGTACTCTCAGAGGTATATAACTAATTTTAAAAATTAGTTAAATTAGTTATTTGTAATAAATATTTGTTGTTTTTTCCCTCAAATACACCTATTAGTTATGTGTACTAGAATAAAAACTATTTAACATGTGTAATAATTATGAGAACTATTTTGTGAAAAAGTAAATAAATATGAGAGATAAAATAAATTAGAGTCTCATACTAAGAATAAAAAGTATTAGCACACAATAGTAATGCCCATATTCATTGAATTTCCAAAATGTTTAGATTCAATGAACAGAAGTATAAAACATCCTCGTTTAATATAAAAAGCTTTTTATACTTCTAAAATAGAAGAACAAATCTAGAAGATTTTCTGATTTGGTTTAGATGAATATAATATTATTTATGGTGAAATAATATTTTTTTATTATTATGAGGCAAACAACACTATTGTTTTTTAATTTAGGATTTGAAATCTTTAGATTAATTTATTTTAAATCATGGTATCCTTAAAAAAGTTTATATGAAAAATTGTATATCCTAAATTAAACAGAATAAAGAAATCATATTAAAGACACTTATGAAAATCAATATATAATAATATACATAATTTGGAATTATATACTTTATTATCAGATAAATATCATATCTTTTAATAGATAGTGATATATGGCATATGATATGTTATTTAACTTAAAACACGTGATTTTAGTTGAACTTGGACATCCATGTGCCGACCCCTATATAAAGGTGGTCAGGAACTCAGGATCCTTAGAAACACAGAGAAAGGAAAGTCGGGACAAGAGACATTTTTCTTGCATAAAGAGCTAGCAAATTGGCAAGTCTAGCTCTTTTTTTTAATCCAATAATAACAACGTTGAAAACCAATCTTGCTAGTTACCCATATCATATCTTCTTTCAGCAAAGAGAGATGAAGCTACTACACAAGGACTTCACGCTGAACCGACCAGGAACGGTCAAGATCATCCCCCAAGAACCCGATGACCTATGGGTGGTTTTCAACCTCATCGCCAAAGGAGACATCGTCACCGCCGATACGACTCGTAAAGTTCGCCTGGATCTCAACATGACGACTGCCTCACGTGTCAAAGTCGCCGTCACCGTCAAAGTCACGTGCCGCGACTTCCAGAAGGATTCTTCCACCGTGTGCGTTCACGGCAGGAACATCGAGGCCAGCAAGTACGTCCCCTGCGGCTCATTCCACACCTTGACCCTCGAAATGAACAAATGCTTCGAACTCTCCAAAAAGATTTGGGATTCTACTGCTGTGGCCGTATTATACGAAACCTCCAAGAAATCCCCCGGCGCTGACCTCGCCGTGTTTCTTATACAAGAGGCTCAAGCAGAGGTTTATTTGGTCGGGAACGGGCTAACCACGCTCTGCTCTAAAATCGAAGATTCACAGACCGGAGTGAAATCAGCCAGCAACATGTTTTTCCGAGACATCTTTAACGTCTTCGTGAAGCATGTGAATTTCCGTACAATTAGAACCGTACTGATAGCGGGTGCTGGACCGACAAAAGACGAGTTTCGGAGGTTTCTGCTCTCAGAAGCGAAAAGATTGAAGATGAAAGCAATCGAGAACAATAAGCCGAGGATTGTGGTAGCAGAATGTAAGGGAGATCTGAAGAAGGTGCTGAATGAAAAGAGGGTGATGAATATGATAAAAGACAGCAATGTGGTGCTGGAGATTAGAGCTTTCCGAGAGCTGTGTGAATTGCTGGACAACAAGTCGGGTCGGGCATGTTATGGGACGAAGCATGTGGAGGCTGCGCAGGCGATGATGGCGATCGACACGCTGCTGATCACGGACGATTTGTACAGAAGCTCAGATGTGAAGACGAGACATAAGTATGCCAAGTTGGCAAAATCAGTGGGAAAGGGAGGAGGCAAAGTGCTGGTATATACCTCCATGCATGTCTCAGCAGAACAGCTTGCCCAGCTCACGGGTGTCGCAGCCATTCTGAGGTTTCCCTTGCCCGACCTTGATGGTGATGACGTGGATGTTTAAGTTGAAACAAGGTTTCTATGTCAGTTTCTCATGCAACTTCTTGACTTCTTGTTCATTAATCAGGAAAGGAATGGCTATTCCTCTCATTTGTATACATAATTATCATAAATGATTGTTTATGTGTTGATTCTTGCATAAACTAGTGCACTGCTTTACTGATAGATTTCCTTACCTGATCTAGCCCTTGAGCATTCAGGAGTTCTCTGTTTTTGCCCCCCGAAACAATCAGTATATTCAAAATCTTCTTGTGAAGTTTAACTTTTAAAACTCGCCGAACTTTTTGGTTCACAAAAAGAACTCACCGAACTTAATGGTGGCCCCAAAAAAACTGTAAAACCTTTATTGCAGTAATAGGAGTAAACCAGGCGTTTATACAGTAACATGAAAGGAATCCGTGTGATATTTAAAGTAACATCAATTGAATAAAGAATGTCGAATGATAATCGAAATGTTAAGATTCATGATTCATCGTTTTGCATCTTGATGCGCGCGGGGCAACATGATCTAAGATACTGCTTTGTCTATGAGCATGTACCTCAGTTGCACGAGTTGCCAAAATGTTTCTCAATTTTTTTTTCCCCACCACATATCAACTTAAATACAGAACCTGCGCGCAGGATCATATATGTGAAACAAATCTCGAACCAAAATCAATACTCGACACTGTCTGGAAAATTTTGATTTCTGAAAAGTATTACTTAGCGGGAAGTATATTGATTTCTGAAATTATAAGCAATTGGGTAACCCTGCATGCTGCTTTTGAACCCAAATTACGCGGTCGGATTATATTGCATTGACCTTTACTAGTTCAATCTATAATTAGAAAGGACAGAACCAGCTCACATCAATAAAAGAAAGGCTCACCGTAAGTCTCCCCATTGAGGAAAAGATTAATCATTTTCTCAGGGAGGGTCGTAATGATGCGTTTGCCGCCAAACAAAAGGCATAGGGTGCAGTACTGGAATATTATTTGGGACTAATATAAAATTTTATAATATGATTAATAAGATGTGTAATTATTATAACTTTCAGAAAAACTAAAACTAGCATATGCTTTACATGTGCACCTAAGTATTTAAATTTTTTTTAACAAATAGAATTTAAAATATATTTTATTATGAAAATTATTAAATAAATAATAATTTAAAATTTTGAAACAGAATTCAAAGTAATGAATGAATGGGAAGCGTTCGTAAAAAATTTTAAATTATATTTTTCAATAAATTTCTCATTATTTGCATACATGATGTCACTTGTATTATTTAAATTTAAAATTTAAAACTCCTAAAAAATAATATTTTTCCACGCATGATTAATAAAAAAAATTGTAACGTTCGAACCCAAGATAAACGATTTATATTTGAATTTATTTTTATTTTAGACTTTATACTTGGAAATAAAATTTTGAACTTTTTCTACATATTTGAAAAGGAAAAATGCTTAGGTCAAATCTCTTATATTTATTATGTCAAAATCTCTAATTACATCTAAATATATCTATCTTATTCTTTTCACGTGAGTTTATAATTAAATGATAATATTTGAAAAATAAGATGTATTATCATATAATAATGTATAATCAGAGAACTTGATGTAATACATGTAAATAACTTGATATAAGTATTGTTTTACGAAAAGCTTCCCATTCATTTGTTTATGGATTACTTTGAATTTTGTTTCAAATTTTCATATTATAATTTATTTAATAAATTTCACGATAAAAATATATTTTTAGATGGTATTTATTTAAAATTATTTAAATAATGAGGTGCGAATATAATGCATTTACTAGTTTTCTATGAAAGTTATAATAATTACATATCTTATTGATTATATTATAAAAAATTATAATAGTAATAATCACGAAAACAGAAAATATCTTATTGAAAATAAATTTAAAGTGATAATTTTGTATAAAATAAACACATTACTTTTAACAAATACCAATAAAACCGGCTTTTAAACTACTATTTCAACCAATTTAATATCTGGTCCGATTTTTTGTTTCTTGTAAAAAAAAAAATGGAATCCAAGTTAAATAAGAACTCCCTCTCACATTAGGCATATTCCTTTTGTGGCTTTTTTGTTTTCCAACACAGTTAATATAATTAAGTATTTAAGTCCTTGTTACTCACCTTTTTTTTAGATACAGTTGAATAAAACAAGAAAAGAATGATTAAAAAAAAGTTGTAAATTTATAAATGCCAAATAAAAAATGTTAACAAAATTTTTTTGTCATTTGTAAATTGTAAATTCAATATTGTCAATACCAAATATAGTATTATCACCAAATCTAATTTAAGATTTAGTAATTTTTAGTTTTTTTTTTTAATTCTTCCATAGAACAAAGCTCAATAAATACTTTTATGTCACTTCTGATCTTCTACCACTATCCAATAACAACAACGTTGAAAAACAAACTCGCCAATAGCCAATTAGTCATATTTTTTTTTAGCAAAGAACAATGAAGCTTTTACACAAGGACTTCGCATTGAACCAAACTGGGACGGTCAAGATCATCCCCCAAGAACCCAACGACTTACAGGTGGTTTACAACCTCATCGCCACCAGAGACATCGTCACCGTCGTTACGACTCACAAATTTGACACCACCTCATGCGTCAGACTCCCCAATCCCTATCAGAGTCATGCGTCGCGACTTTGAGAAAGATTCTTCCACCGTACGCATTCAAGGCAGGAACATTGAGGGCAACTCGCACATCCTCGCTAGCTCATTCCACATCTTGACCCTTGAAATGAACAAACGCTTTGAATTGAACTCTCCAAAAAGATTTGGGATTCGAATGCTATGGCAGCATTATACAACACCTTTAAGAAATCACCGGTTGCTGGCCTTGCCGTGTTTCTTATACTAAACTTTGGTCTGGAATCTCAGCTTCACAGAGCGAAAAGAAATCAGACAGCGGAGTGTTTTTCGGAAACATCTTTAACGCCTTCGTTAAGCATGTGGATTTCGGCACCATTAAAATTGTACTAATAGCGAGTAATGTACCGACGAAGGACGGGTTTCGACGGTTTCTGCTCTCTGAACCGAAAAGATTGAAGGTGAAAGCAATCGAGAACAAGAAGTCAAGAATTGTAGTGGCAGAATGTAAGCGGAATCTGAAGCAGGTGCTAAATGACAAGGGGGCAATGAATAAGCTAAAAGATAGCAAGGTTATGATGGAGATTATGTTCACGGACCAGAATGGTTCTCTTAAGAGTACAAGAAAAAAAGATGAAGAAAAAAGTAGCGCACAGTTTCTTCAAGACGTGGGTTACACTTAGCACTTTCTTTTAAATTCAATTTGTTCCCGCCTATTCCTATTTTGTAAGGTACAAGTTGGGTTGATTGATGAATTTTTTTAGAATATAATGAAGACCCATAAATATGGATTGCATTTCCAAGATTCAAGCGAAGACAACAATAGCCTTTACAAAGTGATAGTTTGACTTTGTCTCTGCATGCACTCAAAGACAAAGGCAATGAGTTTGATATTTGTGTTTGTGTTGTGTTGTGTTGTGTGGTTGTTTGTGCATATGAAATGATACTAAGGGGTTTATATAGATTATGGAATGATGCATTGAAGAGATGCCTTTTGAAATAATACCTTACTAAATAAAAAGTCACAACTATATGTTGGTTCATAAACCAACATAATTTAAATAAATAAAATATATTTAATATGGAGGGTCTTTTAGTATTGTAACTTCCTACCCCTCATATAAATATATTAATTTATATGAGAATATAACCTTTCAAATAAATTTATTAATTTATATGAAGACATAACCCTTCATATAAATTTATAATATAATAAATTTATATAAAGATGTGACTTTTTAAAAACACATCTCTTTATTTTAAAAATATTTTAACAATCCCCCACCATTTTTAAAATGAACCCAAACTTTTATCACTTCAGAAATTTTATGTTTTCGGTGAAGGTATGTCAAGGATTTGAACATTTACCTAAGTAGGAAATGGTTTCATCCATCTGAAATAATATGGTAGACTAGGTTTTGAACCAATTATCTCATATGAACGGGTATGCATGACTCACACATGGGACCTGGAGCCACTGTATGTCACTTAAAATGATACATTTATGGTCTTGTGTCCGTATCATTTTCATAAAGGGTTTTCAGAATCAAGTCCTTAGACTCCTAGAAGTGGTCACATTTCACTCTCATATAGGTAGACTTTATCAAGCGATCAAATTATAGTTGAGTATTCCTTTTAAGTACTTTAGTGCTCTATCCACAGCATACCAGTGATTTTGATTTTGATTGCTTGTGTATCTACTTAACCTTCCCACAACATATGTTATATCTGGTCATAGCATACACTAAGTATCCAATTACCTTTTGTTAGATTTTGGGCTTGGGATCTGCCCTTGATGGGCCAGATTATTTGACCGGGTATAAAGAGAATATATCAGTCAAATATCCAAGCGATATTGTGATATGTTTGACTTGGTCAAACACCCTGAATCATATCCAATCGGTTACGATATAAATCTAATTAATTTATATTGTGTAAATTAAATATATATTAAGTATATATATTTAGAATTAATTGTGATTGATTCTGGATTTAAATTCAAATATCATGATATTATGAGATAAGGATATATTATATCTTATCTCAGATTTTATCTGATGGGCTCAGTGGATATTTTTATGCTACCCAAAATATCCCTGACAAAAGCTATAAATAGAGGCTTTCCCCCATCAGTTCAAATCACTCCAGTAATAGAGCTTTCCTACTATATATATATATATATATATATCTCTCTCTCTCTCTTATTTTCTTTCTTGTAAAAGGGTGCTCTGCCGTGTACTTAAAAGCTTAGAATTTTATAGTTTAGCTTAAGCGTGAGCTAAGAAGATCCGACCGACCCGATCCGATATCCGATATCCGATATCCGACCCGGTATGTTTTCAATCCATTGCATCATATTATTCTTACACCTTTAAATAATCATGTTATCTCACAGGAGAATCTTTGTTTGATACTAACTTCATACTAGAATCAAATAAAAAAAATATAACAAAGTCAAAAATTATTAACATGTCACCAATGTATAGATATACTTTATATTATCAAATTTACCATTGCAAATAAGTACATGCATGAAAGTTATATTGATCCTTCCCTCTATTTTTTGATGTCTTTTGGCCTTTTCTTCTTCCATCACATTTATTCTCTTCTGAGCATTAATGTATTTCACATAACCTTATTTAACATACTTATCTTTTTTTGAGAAGATGATATTTCCAATTGCTCAAGAGAGAATCCTTTTTAATGTTTCAAGACTCTTTTAAAGTTTCTTTATGAAGGAGAAGGTCTATCTTTAATTGATGAGACAATAACATATTCATCCATATGCATGTTATTTAAAATTAATCAACATGCTCAATTTCATGCATATGTTTCATAACAAAATTTTCACCAAACATTCTAATTAGAACTACAACACAGCATGATAATTATCAACTCATATAATTGATAGTAGAATTTTTCATGACAATTATCAATTTAGAAAATTCGAAATCTATTATGCTTCTTATCATTTTCTTGCCATAATAAAATTTCATGATTCCACATGCAAAACCTGTAACATCCAAACTTTTAGGTCTAGAAGTACTAGAAATAGCCTGAATTAGATAGGCTACTAGACCCCTTTTGAGCAGAAGTCCCAAAGATGAGAAAGGAAGGCAAAGGCAGTTTCAGGGACTAAACTGCAAAGTAAAAGTTTTGAGGGACTAAAGTGTAATCAAAGTTAGAGGCTCCAGTAAAGTCTCAAAGGCCCAAAGAGAGAAAAGAGACTAGATACAAGCCAAAGGTTAAGCTAAAAGCCTCAAAGAGAGGATTATATGAAGCTAAGTCCAAGAAAGGACTAAACTGTAAATTTAGAAAGTTATGACCAACAGGGGTAAAAATGGAAGAGTATGCAGAGAATTTCAAGAAAATCCTAGAAAATGGGAAATAATATTCTAAGGCTCTTCTGTGAAGAGAAAAGATGAAAATACCCCTGAGGCAGCTTCAATGGAATTTATGAGGTTATTACCGGTAAAAAGTATACCATATGAGGTAATTATTCAAAATAGCAAGAGACCTAAAAAATGTATACAAAAATGAGATTAAATGGTTAAAAGGTTGTACTAATTTATAAAATTAGTCCCGTAATCAAAAGGCCAGTGGAGTGGCTTTAATAAATTAAAGAGCCAGTTTTGCTGATAAAAAGGTATTTTAGTAAATGAATTTTATGTAAGGCTTAAAGGAAGTGTTATGGCCTAAGAAAATTCATAGATACTCTCTAGAATTAAAGGGAATTTATGGATCTGACAGAAAATAATTACAGAGGCTAGAGCACTGTAATTATAGAAAAGAAGTTAAACCCGGAGTAAAAGTGCACCGATAAAGTGTTAATCAGAGTCTTGCACTTTGCTTGGCCCACAAGTCGCCACTTGTCAAGCCTTTAATGGATGGTAATTAAAGCTTTCCAAGTATCAAGCTACCAATGGAGAGGATCTTGACTTTGGAATTTAATTACATTATGATTTAAGTTAATTAAGAGAGAGGATTAAGATTAAATAGGCTAATGACACTTGGCATAACATTAATGAGGATTGGTGGGATATTTTGTACACATTAATGAGCTTCTTCTCCCCCTAATTGCTGATGGTGTTTCGGCCAAGTGAGAGGAAGAGGAAAAAGAGAGGGTTTTGAAGGAGAACCAAGGAAAAGCTATCAACTTTGATCAACCAATCAAGGATTCAAGGTTAGTTTTTGTTCTTAAGTTGTTCTCCACATTGTTTGCTTAGGTTGTATGGTTGAAAATCATAGTTTCCCTTCTCTTTTGATGCTGGACGAAACATATATATTGTGGAGGAGGAAGTTTTGATGGTAGATCTAGCTAGAACACTTCAAAGTATGGTAGATCCAAGTGGATCTATGTGAAAATTGGAAAAATTACGTGCTGATTTGATGCCTATTTCGAATTAGTTACTGTTCATATCTGGTTCTAAAATTTGACATGCTTAAAGTACACTCTGTGAGCTTTAAATCCATGGATAGAACACTTCATTTGGATATGTGTACGATTTATGGTGATTTTTCAAAGTTAGGGTTTGAAATCTAGAAACAGTGTTGAACTTTTGGAAGAGTGTCGAGTTCCGTACAATTCCGGTACTATTTGGCGTAGAATTGGTTCCTGAAACTATTTTTCCTTTAAATTTAACTTAAGGAGCTTTCAGTGAGACTTGGAAGCACTTGATTTGGATTTTTATAGATTTAATTATGAATTTTCGAAGTTGAGCAAAAATTCTGGAGTTTCTGCGTGAACAGTACCCGCGAACCAAAATTTCCAGATTTGGTATTCTTGAATCTAAGGCTATCTAAAGTGGTCCTAATTGACAAGAAATGGATCTTAAGGATGGAAAATGATAAGATTTATATTAGAAAATTTAGAAAGAAAAGCCTAAGACTAAGAGAAAGGGTTGAGGTTCAAGAAAGCTAGTCTTGAACTTTATGTAATCTAATGGTCCTAATGGATTGTGTGATCATTATGGTTATATTTAGGACCTTTGGAACATCCAAGAGGATGTTTGGTGATGTTGACCGAATGCCCACATGGTTGGAAAGTCAAGGGAGTCAAAGGAAAAGTAAGAGGAAAGCTTGAGGTGCAAGGTAGTGAACTTACCCTTTATGTGCTTGACATGGTATGCTCACGTGTTGGTTTGTATTTGTTGTTTGAATGATGTTGTGACATGATGATTGTTGCTGGAAATTCTGTTTTTAATATGTTCCCATGGCCATGCATTTTTATACCAAGCATAAAGTATGATGGCATGTCACTAGTTAACTTAAGTTTATGAAAAACTACACACCATACACTAGCATCCATCTTGTGCATGTATGTGGTAATGTTTATTACTGAGATTCCCCCGAATCTCACCCCTTCGTAACCAACCATTTAGGTCAATCAATGATGGGCACTAATGGCATGAGAAGCAAGGAGAAGAAGTGGAGAATTATTGATGCTAATGATTGATACTAATATTCAATGTATAATTCTCCTATGTTATAATTATATTGTGAATGCCATGTATTTAATTATAAAGCTTATGGCATGTATAGGAATGCATGAGCATGAATGGGAAAAAGTAAGCCCATGTTAGGCATGCCAAAGAAATAAAAAGAATTAAAGTAAAGAGATGTTAAGGGATAAAACGTAGGTCCTAAAGCAGTTAGTTTTGAGCTTCAGTTTGACCTATCAAATGAATGAGTTAAGTCACGATATTTGGTAGACTTATAATACACATCCCAAGCTTTAAAATAAGAGGTAGATCACCTTATTTTGATGTGTATACAAAGAGATATGAATTTTCAAAGTTAAGGCACAAAATCTGGAAAGTCCAGATTTTACCAAACAAATAGTAATCTTAATCCAATAAACTGTACGTTTTCAATGAGGATGAGTTCAGTTGAATATTTTTCCCTTAAAGAGCATTGAAAGAGCTTTCCGTAGAATTTTGGAACACCTCCATACGATTTTTCTAGAATTAGTTATGGTTTTTCAAAATTGGACCTGTAATCTGAAAACTGGACAGTGAACAGTAATTTTCGGAAAATTAACGTCCAAATTGAAATTTTTAAGTTTAAGACCATCCAAAGTGGTTTGGAATGGTTCTAAATGACTGCTAAGGTACTATATAAGTAAGGTGTGACAAAACCCACATGATTTAAAGCAAAACAATGGCATCAAACTAGATCATGAATAAACCTCGTGAATTACCAAAGAGAGGCATATAGATACTTACCTGTCTCTTTTGCCATTGACCATATGAATTTGTGCTAGATGACTCCTTTGCAAAGTCCTTGGATTTAACGGTCCATTTCTTCTAGCAAGATTGGTACCATCTCATTGAAATGTTGCTTCTTTCAAATTTTCCAACTTCGCAAAATTTTTAGTCTCTAGTTCCTTCAAAGAACCATTTGTAGTTGCGAAAATTTAAGCTTAAAGATTGTTGGCGGGAATGGTTCTCTGACCAATACAAAAAGAAGAGGTGAAGAAGAAAGTAGTGCATGATGTTTTCAAGACATATGTAGCACTTTCCTTTAGGCTTAATTTACCCCCATCTACTCTTATCTTATCTTATAAGGTGCAAGTTGGGTTGACCAGTGAATTTCCTTTAGGATACAATAAAGACTTTTGAATATGGATTATACTTCCAAAATTCAAACAAAGATAACAATGACCTTTACAGAGTGATAATTTGACTCTATCTCTACGTGCACTTTAAGACAAAAGCAATGAGTTTAATTTGTGTTGTGTTATTTGTGCAAATGAAGTGATGGTGAAGGGTTTATATAGGTCAACCAAATAACTTGATTTTAATTATTTGATGATGTCAATGTTAGTATAATCTTTCTATCACAATATTTAATTTAATTTAATTTTAAATATGATGTATTTGATAAGGACATTTTAGTCATTTGGATATTTATTAATTTTCTTTCCTTTCTATTTTCTCTCATCTATCCAAGCAAGAGGGATGATAACATTTTCCCTCTAGTTCTTCCTTCTCTTTATTTTCTCTCCTTTCATTTTCTTTCCTCTTAACTTTTCTTCCTATTCAAGCAGAGCAGTAGAGTCTCTTAGTATTGTAACTTCCTGCATAACCTTTATATAAATATACTACTTTACATGAAAACACAATCCCTCAATATAAATATATTAATTTATATGAGAACACAACTTTTTAAATAAATTTATTAATTTATAAATATATAAAGATAAGACTTTTCAAAAACTAATATTTTTATTTTAAAAATATTCCAACATACTAGAGCTTTCCGAGAATTGTCTGACTTGCTGGCCAACAATTCAGGTCGGGCATGTTATGGGACGAAGCATGCAGAGGCTGCGCAAGAGATGACGGCGATTGACACGCTGCTCATTACGGACGAGACACAAGCATGCCAATTTGGCTAAATCAGTGAAAAAGGGAGGAGGCAAAGTGGTGGTATATACCTCCATGCATGTCTTCGCAGACCAGCTCGCCCAGCACGGGCATCGCGACAACTCCAGGTTTCCCTTGCTCGACCTTGATGACGTGGATGTTTAAGTCCAAGCAAGGCTTTACGCATGCAGGTAACAATTTGTCGTGCATCTTGTTTATTAATCGGGAGAGGAATGGCTTTTCCCTCTCGTTTGTGTATATGATGATCATTGATTGTTTACGCGTCGCTTCATTTTTCGTTTTTCTTTGGTGATAGCATTGATTCTTACATAAAATAATGCAGTGCTTTACCCGATTTCGTCATCCGACCTAGTGCATTCAGGAATTGGTTTTTCCAAAGCAATCAGTATAGTCAAAATCTTCAACCAATAATGCCATTGCCTTCAATAGAAAAATGCTTATGCATAACTAGGGGGGAAAAAAAATCTTCTTATCAAGTTCAACCTTTAACACTCACTTTTGGTTTGAAAAAAAAACACCAAGCTTAATGGAACCTCAAAAAAAAAAAAAAAAAAACCCCACAGTAAAGCAAGCAAAAACCATGCGGACCATATCCATCTAGTGAATAAAAATACAAAGGAATGTGACATCAAAAAGAGAAATACAAAGGAACGTTGTTTTTCTTTTTATGAATGAAATGGATAATTTTCACGCAAAATAAACCATACAAAGTCAAGCAATATACAAGCTAACAGTATTTACATGACAAAGGAACGATGTTAGTTCTCGCTGTGACTGCCGCTCATTTCTTCTTTCCCAAAAATGTTCCTGTCCCTTCTCCAATAAAGGACGATGGGACCATTCACCTACAGAACTGATGGTCCTTGGCGATAATCAGCATCTTACAGAGACATCAAAACTACAAGATAAATAAGTTTATTCAAATAATCCCCATCACCATCACACGACAGCCAACAAATTACAGTGCAAAATTTCCACAACCGAGAGACTCTGTTCAAGAGAGTAAAAACCGAGGAAGAAAAAGAATAACAAAACTCTCTAAGTGCGCACACATACAACAAATCGAGGCAGAGCACATCGCAAGACCAGTAAACAGTCACATTCCAGTGACAGCCAGAGTTATCCATCCTTCAACTACAGCGATCCATATTATTGCAGTAAACCAGCCTCTCTAAGAGCGCGTTTATAATCATCAACGTTTCTTTGTTGGACCTGCACCCACAGTAACATCAAAGGAAGCCATGTGACATTTCAGGCGTACGTAACTCTTTATAAAATAAAGAATGGCGACTAATTGAAATTTCAAGATGCATCGATTTGCATCTTGCTGCACGGAGCAACATGATGCTGCACTGTCTATGAGCATACCTCAGCTACAGGGGTGCCAAAATGTTTCTCAATTTTTTCCATAAGATTTTCATCCCCCTCACCACATATCAGGTTAAATACAGCACCTGCAGGATCATATGAAACAAATCTCAAACCAAAATCAACATTTCACAATGTCTGTGAAATTTGATCCATTGCGTAATGGTAAGCACACTTGATTTCAATCAATAATTAACAAAAACTAAAGTGAGCCTCTCCATATGCATAAAATCCAAAATAAACTGCACTAGCCATGGCTTATGAACAATTTGGTTTTCTATAAGTTTGAAGGACGTATTGATTTTTGAAATTATAAGTAATTGAGTAACCCTATATAATGCTGTTAAACCCAAACAAGCAGGGTGATGCAATCGGACTATATTGCTTTAAACTTTATTAGCTCAATCAGTTAAAAAGACAGAACCAGCTTACATAAACCTTTGACCCAATAAAAGAAAGTTCCATCATAAATCTCCCATTGAGTGACAGATTAATCATGTTCCCCGCGAGAGTCCTAACGATTGGGTTTGTTGCCAGCAGAAGACATAGGGTGCAGTGGAACCTCCACTGGAGCTTGGAAGCCAATTTTTGCTATTGCTTGCCGAAAACTCAGGGGTATCAGAAATAGGAAAGTATCTTTATGCACACAAAAATAAGTTCTACACTACGACTCAGGTGCCGCATGAGAAATGGCTAAGTGAAATCGCATCTCCTAAGTTGGCAAAACTTAGGCCGTTGCCCAGTATCAGTTTAGTCTGTTCAGATAGAACGTTTTTTAAAAGTCGCACAATAGGAGTTACAAAACAGAGAATGTCATGAACTAACTTACCCTTTCGCCCAAAACGTCCTGCCCTACCAACCCTGTGCAAATATACCTCATAATCAGGCTCTGGTTCACGGGTATACTCAGCAGTATGTTTTACAGGGAGATCGTAATTGATAACCAAATTCACCTGCATAGAAAATAAACAAAGAAAAGCAGCATGTCAGCGCACTGTACTGACAGATGGCATGCATACAAGAGAAAAAGAACATAATAAATCCACCTGTTGCTGATCAAAACCTCGAGCAAGAACATCAGTAGATATAAGAACTTGAGTCAAACCATCCCTGAACTCCTTGACAATCTTGTCTCTCTCATTATTGTCAAGAGCACCTTGTATGGAAGTAACTTCGTACTCCAAATCTGCAAGTGATTCATGCAGCATACTAGCACTGTTTCTTGTGCGCACAAATACAATAGTCTGCCCAACATTCTCTCCTATCTCAAATATGTAATCTCTGATCACATCAATCTTAGAGAGCTCATCGGGACAGTTGACCTTGTATTGCTTCACCGCCTGTAAGGACAGTTCTTCTTTCTTCACAAAAAGTTGATTATGATCCTTCTTAACTACCCTTGAAACAAAATTCTTGACAGTGTCATTAAAGGTAGCTGAAAAGAGAAGAACCTGGAGAAATACATGGCAATTAAGAAAAGTCAAAGACCTTCATCCCACTGAGTTATTGAAACATAAGCTAGTCTGGGAATCCACATTTCCTGATAACTGAAAAAAAAAAAATACTACCTCCGGTCCTTAATATAAAAACTAGTTAACTAATTTGAATAGATTAAGAAAATTAGTTAAATTAGTTATTTGTAATAAATATGTATTGTTTTTTTTAAAGTATCCTTACTAATTAAATGTACCAGCTAAAACTACCATTATTACAAGGACTACCTTGAGCAAAAATAAATAAATATAAGAGACAAAGTAGATTAGAGTCTTATATTTATGACTAAAATAAAAATCAAGCAAGCTCTTATATTAAAGACATGAGGTAGTATTAAATAAAAGTAACACCATACAACAAAGCACAGAAGCACAGACACTTCTAGAAAGGAATTGTATCTACGTCTAACACATGCTGGACAAGCACATAAGGTAAAAAACGGCGTTTCAAATATCACATGTTCACAACTAAATTGTCCCCGTGATGTCCATGTCCATGTTTCTTAGGCAACATATGGCTGTATTACTGGCAGATATCAAAGTTGCAATTCATATTACATAGCAACCAGATAACATTTCCTCATAATTACTAACATAACCATCAATTGTATTTCTGATCCCCTTCCATCAAAGTCCACTTTTATCATGGCAACTTATCAGCACAAGTCAGGAGACCTCTAGTCTTTACATAGCCATATTATTTGATTTCTTCTTCTTCTTCTTCTTTTTGGTTGGGGGGGGTCTGTATAGCATTAAAGAATTACATACTCCTTAGTCCTTCTATTTTTCCCTCGTACAAGATGAAAAGAGTATAAACTTCGTTAGTTTGGATTTCATCCACTGGTTCTATAAGGGAACAAATAGCACAAGATGCACTTCACCTCAACAGATCTAGGTGCATCTGTGCCTGCGAACTACATGTCAACATATGCTCGTTGGTGCAGTGCCTGAGGATGGATGAGTCATGCATACTACTTATAATTGCCTGAGAAAGGAGGGGGGGTCAACAGACCTGACAATGCAGATTGACTTTCTCTATTTCCTTCATTATCCTCAAGGAATCATCTTTGAAACCATCCTGCAATGTTAAAATTTCCAATAATTAATGAAATGAAGGAATAAAATATTTAGAAACCACGCCCTGCAATATTTTAAAATTTAAGCAAGAATACCAACAGTAGGTCAAATCAATTTGCGTAAATTACCTCAGCAAGCATTTGATCAGCCTCATCAAAAACTAAAATATTCAATCTGCTTACACCCAGCTTCTTATATGACATCCATTTCTTAATCGTGCCAGGAGTCCCAATCACTACTTGTGCCATTATGGGTGGTCGTTTTGATATTGGAATAGAATCTCTGCTGTCTGTAGGAATGGCACATTCAGAACCAATCCCTGTGTACCTCCCCATCTTTCGAAGAACTTCCATATTCTGAAATATTTAGTTACCATCATTATGCTGAAACTAAATGTCAGGGTGTTAAATGCTTGCTTGAAAGATGAAAAGCACAGAATCTTACCTGAATAGCCAATTCTCTTGTTGGACAAATGCAAAGGGCCTGAGGGGCTTGCACCTTGGGATCAACACGACTCAGCATCCCAAGCACAAAACAAGTTGTCTTGCCAGATCCATTATGTGCCTGAGCGATCAAATCCTTGTAAGGAGGGTTCAGAACCATCGGCAAACTGATAGCTTGAATCTTGCTAGGCTTCTGGAATTTCATCTCAACATACAATCCCTTTAGCAACTCCGGGGATAGATTTAAATCTTCAAAGGTACTCGCTGAATTATACGGAGTATCGCCCGATGAAACCTACATCAAATTTCGACTTCGAAGTCATTAGGAGGGGAAGTCCAAACCCTATCATCCTAGAATGGATTCCAGTTACCAGTCAACTACGGTGAAAGAAAAAGAATGGGAACTTCTATCCCAAGAAGGTGATTTTTTAAGGAGAAATTAACAACTCGCCAAATACCTCGTTTCATTGCTAAAAACTATTCTGTCGTAGATAAAACACAACTTTAGTCAAAGTTATAGTCAATTGCACCATTAGGATTTCTTGAATACAGGGCATTCGGGCCTGATTGAACTTGATAGCCCCGCTCAGGATATCTAATCATGGCTCCAATATCAACATTCACAAAGTAAATAATAACACTTATCCTCTTCCTCTTGGTACCCGCCTGTGAACCTCCCACGGAGACCACACTTGCCGATAAAATAATAACATCTAAGAAGGAAAAAGAAACTATAAAATTATAAGAGAACGTACCGCTTGAATACTGGAATCATCGGGTTCGTCCAAAACCTTGGGACTCTTCTTTTTCTCGTCGATTGTTAATTCATCAACGTTAAGGGCCGAGACTGTCGACGAGCTCTCAGTGGCTTCACTCGTTTCTTTTGGAACTTCTTCTTCCACCTCGTCAGCCCAGCTTTTGTGATCCGGAGCCGGTGCCGGAGTAGTGTGGTTGGAGGAATCACCAGAAACCGATTCCGCCATAGCTCTGTGTGTGTCTTTGAGCTAAGCTATGGGAGGGGTTTTGGAGGGAACGCGAAGCTACTGGGATATCCTGTCCACTCCAAAATTACAATGACGCAAGATTTAATTGGGGCGACATTTTATAGCAGAGTTTTCCCTCGCCGCCATCGCGGGAAGGGTGATTGCGTACTGTTGACGTCGCGTCCATTTTAAGCTCGTAAATTTTTTTAAAAAAATAATATAAATGCCAAGGCGAAAGAGCCCGGATGGATTTGGTCCATGGGCTTCAATAACTACAGCTATTGGCCCATTTACGTTAGACACTATTGCATATAATAGGCCCAAATTAAACATAAGAGTTGGTTGTGAGTTGTTAGACCGCCTTTTAGATCTACTGCCTCATGTTCTTAATATAAAAACCTATTTAACTTTTATTTTAATCTTAAATATAAGATCTTGATTCACTTTTTTTTTATATTTATCTATTTTTTTCAAAGTAGTCTTTCTAACAATAATAATTCTAGCCAATACGCTTAATTAGTAAGGATATTTTAGGAAAAACAACACCTATTTATTACAAATAACTAACTTAATTAATTTTTTTAATGTACTCAAATTAGTTAACTAACTCTTATATTAAGAACTGGAGGTAGTATTTTGAAACAATATAATTTTTTTTACTTTTTAAATAGTTTAAATATATGATATTTGTGTGTTGGCAAAAAAAATGATGTTCATGATTCATGATCCATTTATTAATTTTCATAATAAATCTATATTATTTTTATCAGATAAAAATATTATCTAGTAAGAAATTTTTTTTTAAAATTACCTATAAAAATTATGCAGTCTCAATACCTGTGCATGAGCATCCATACACTTTACTAATCTTTTGTAGTATTTAGGGCGCAGTTCTTAATATTAAAATTAGTTGATTAATTTGACTAGATTAAAAAAATTAGTTAAATTAGTAATTTGTAATATTACCTCCAATCCTAAATACAAGAATTAGTTAAGTAACTTGAATAGATTAAAAAAATAAATTTAGTTATTTGTTATAAATATGCGTTGTTTTTCCTAAAATATCTTTACTAATTAAGTGTGTTGACTAGAACTATAGTTATTAGAAAGACTATGATCAAAATAAAAGTTAAATGGGGTCTTATATTAATGACTCAATGTAGTAAATAGGTGTTTTCTTTTCTAAAATATACTGCCTAATGTCTTTAATATAAGAGCTGGTTAACTAATTTGAGTAAATTAAGAAAATTAGTTAAGTCAGTTATTTGTAACAAATATGTGTTGTCTTTTTTAAAATATTATTGCTGATCAAGTATATTGACTATAACTACAATTATTATAAAAACTATTTGAAAAAAATAATAATATAAGAGACAAGTGGATTGGGGTCTTATATTTATAATAAAAATAAAAGTCAAATAAGCTCTTATATTGATAACCGGAGGTAATACTTGCTAATCAAGTATATTGGCTAAAACTATTATTACTACAAAAGTTATCTTAGAAAAAATAGATAAATATAAGAGACAAAATGAGTTATAGTTTTATATTTATGATCAAAATAAAAATTAAAGAGTTTTTATCTGGATCAAGATGTAGTATTATTTTTAATTTTTTCACCAGCACAAAACCAGATACTGAATTTCAGTGACCTAAGAAGAAGAAGAAGAGGCCCTTCTCATAAAGAGCAGTAACTCCACCCATCACATATACATCCGCCGACTTTTTACACCGGGCATAAAAGAATTCACAATGTCCTGTACAAAAGAAGATACTCCTCCGGTCCTTATTATAAGACCCAATTTGACTTTTTATTTGGTCATAATTATAAGACCCAATCCATTTTCTCTCTTATATTTATGCATTTTTTTCCAAGATAATCCTTCTAATAATGATAGTTTTAGCCAATATACTTAATTAGCAAGGATATTTAGGAATAACAACACTTATTTATTATAAATAACCACCTTAACTTACTTCCTTAATCTTCTCAAACAAGTCAATTGGGTCTTATAATTAGGACCGGAGGAGTATGGTGTGACATTAAACTGAGAAGGACATGGCAATGTTAATGGCTCTTTAACCTTATAGTTTTTCAAAAAAAAAAAAAAGAAGCAGTAAAAGATGATTAATCCCATGCTTTCAAGCTGCTCAACTTATCCCTTTAAATTACAAAAAAATATTTCAACTGCAATAAGTAGTATGATCGATTCATTCAAATTATCTTTGCGTCGTTATCGATTTCAAATAAAATCTTGTCATAACCACTGTCAATAATATTCCGTGAATAATTAATCTATTCAGAAAATAATTTAATCCTTTGACATGGTCTTGACATTTATCTCAATGCTTTCAATTCTAAAAAGAAATCACCACCATTAATATCAAAATAGTCATCAAAACTCAGGAACTTTACAACTTTAATTCCATTTCCCGTTCAATTCTTCCCCGTACTAAGGTCTGAGTTAAAAACCAAAAATGGTTTCATATTGCAAAAAAAAGAAAAAGAAGAAAGTTTTCTGGACGGTATAAAAGTTTAATAAATTCCTGGCAGAAGAAATTGATTGATGTAATGTGTATAAAAGAAATACGACATCCTGCCTTTAATTTTAATATAATATCCACTTAGTAGTACAATTTGCATTATTAAGTGAATCTTATTTTAAAAATGAATGTAATAACACCTCTGATTCTTACTATGAAAACTGGTTGACTAATATGAATATATTAAGAAAATTAACTATATTAGTTATTTATAATAAATAGATATTATTTTTTTAAAAATAACATCGCTAATCAAGTATATTGGTTAGAATTAGTATTATTACAAGGACTACTTTAAGGAGGAAAAAAAAGATAAATATGAGTGACAAAGTGAACTAAGGTTTTATATTTAGAACTAAAATGAAAGTCAAATGAGTTCTTATATTAAAAATAAGAGATAGTATTAAGTATGAAACGAATTTTTGCTAAGTACTCCTTTATTACTTTTTATAAGGCAGATGGGAAAGTTTTTTTTTTTTCTATTTGTAAGTAATATCATCATATTTTAGTTTTTTTTACCAGCACCATCATATGTTAGTATGAATGTACTTTTTTTTTAATATACATGGTCTTGCTATTTTCTCAATACATATTGTTATTTTTAAATATATATATTAAATAAAGATAAGATTAAAAAATTGTTACATTTTATGATAGCCACTTAGCTGGTATAAGTATTTTTCTTAATCTGTATGAAATATATTAAATATATCTTATAAATAGGATCAAAATATATAACTTCATTACTGATATTTGGATCAAGACATTCTCTAATGAATTACACATTTTTAATCCACCCTATGTATCTACTATCTACACCTGAATATGTAGGGCTTTGCTGCAACTGGTAAGCAAATGCTTGTGCGCGGCTGCGCGCAACACATGCTTTCTTTTTCTTAGAGAAAATGAAAAAAATACATGTTGAATTTTGAAATCACAAGTTGATGAAATTATTATAAAAATAGTCAAAATTATTACAGTAAATGAAAAACTCATTTTTTACGGAATAACTTGAAATAAATTCTAGAATTACAAAATCACCCCTAATTCTTCTCATTCCCTCCCCCACTTCCTTTTCCCCATTATAAAATTGGAAAACATAAATCTAAATAATTTTAGGGTTAATAATTAAAATTTGAAATCACTAGTTTTGATTTCTAAAACTTTACTTCATTTTGAATTTGGTCTCTAAAATTTAAAACAAATGATTTTTGCCTTTGAGATTTAAAATTATTTTGGTTTTGAATCTTATTTCAAGGATAAAAAAAATCTCATATTTAACCAAAATGGAGTCAAATCTCAATGACCAAAATCATTGGTTTAAAAATTAAAATTTTAGAAACCAAAATGAAAATAAGATTAAATTTAAGGAACCAAGACTGCTAATCTTAAATTTCAAAGCTTAAAACCAAAATGAAGTTAACTTTGATAATTAAAAATGATATTAACCTGCAATTTTAATTTATTAATTTAATGACGGCTCTTAGACTTGTTTAAGTGAAAACATTTCTCCTTCCAGTAAAAATTGAGATGTGTTTTGAAAAAATCCAAAAAAAAAAACTACTTGAATTTTAAAATTCTAAATTAATCTTAATTTTTATATTAAACAGAAATTGCATACATTAAAAAAGCAGATAAGAACATACTTCTATAGGAATTACTGAGTGAAAATCCCAAAATTCAAATACTCCTCCGGTCCTTAATATAAGACCCATTTAATTAATTTGATTAGATTAAGAAAGTTAGGTAAGTTAGTTAATTGTAATAAATATGACAGGTTTTTTCTAAAATACCATAATCATCTTTCTCAATACCCCCTCTCCCTCTTCTACTTGATTATGGTTGAGGGAGTATCTATAGGGGTAATTTAGAGATTATTGATAAATATGAGAAATGGGTCTTATATTTAGGACTAAAACCAACTCAATAATTAGATCCTATATTAAGGACCGGAGGAGTAATATTTTTTGGAGGATTTTTTTCACGTGTTTTTTCCTTCGAAAATGAGACGCGAAACCTCCGCTTCTTTTCGCTGTCTTTTCGACCCGCATTCACGCAGATTTTAATGAACGTTTCCTTTTCCATCCTTTTCAATATTGGTACGCCAGATAGCCACTTGTTGCAAATTTTAATCAAAGCGCGTACATGCAAGGGTCCCAATCTGTTTGGATTTGGAAAAGCCGAAAGGAGAGATACTTGGGCGTTATCAGACAAGTGCGCTGCTCTATTCTCCCAGCGATCCATCACAACACAGATAAGAAATCAGTAGGCACCCAGTAATGTAAATTCGATTGATTTTTTTCCGGTAGATATGAGATAGAGAGAGAGTAGCGTTAACTGGTCTCTTTCATGTGTAATGGGAGGCGTGACGCGATGCCGCACCTGTGGAAAAATATGATAAAGTATTCAATGTAACACTGAGTTGCCAGGAAAAAAAAAAAAGGATTCGAGAATAATTGTGTTTCTGGGAAAGGAGGGAAAGAAAAATTATAAAGAGACGCAATGGGGTTCCATATTTAGCAGCGCCCAGCGCCCACAGACCAAGGTCTTTGTCCCCTGTCAGTACCGTTAGCCTCGTCTGAGTAGTTGATGATAAATAGTAGTATTAAGCAGAGCCATTGTCCGAAAATCCTTTTTCTCTCTTAATGCACGAAAAGTACTAGCTTCAACGCGGTATTTTTTTTCCCCCCTGTAAATTCTGCGAAGGAAATCCTGGGAACATCCAAAATGCAGAGTTTTCTTCCGATGTTATTGGCCTTCGCCACCGTTCTGGTGCTCGTATCAGGAGTTCACGGTGGTTTGTCCGGGGGTTTCCTCCCTCTGGAACGGGCAATTCCTCTTAGTCGGCGAGTGGAGCTGGAAGCACTCAGAGCTCGCGACCGAGCTCGGCATGCTCGAATGTTGGAAGGTGTAGCAGATGGTGTTGTCGACTTCTCGGTCAAAGGAATCTCTGATCCTTCCACTATTGGGTACGGTTAGTTCGAGCAACCGGGTTTCATGCATTTCGCATTTAAGGATTTTTAATGCTCTCGCATTTATTATCCTGCTTCTCGTTGTGTTCCTTGGCTTGGCTGCATCCTACGCTTCTTCATTATCTGTTAAGCATTTAGTTTCTATTTATCTAGGTAATTATTGGCTTTTAACCTTATTTTTTTTGGATTCCTCAATGAGACGTCGAGAAAGGATGGTGATCGAGTTTCCGAAATACTGATGGAATCTGTTTCTTCTCCAGTGCCCAATATCTTCCTCTCAACTTTCTGCAGTGCTCCCTTTCTCGAATCCAATATTTTTCCTCTTACTCGTCATTCTTTCGGAGACACTCTTTAAAAAATTGACAACTGGCAAGTATTATCGTTCAAGCTTGGGGTAATCTTGGTTTTCTTGTTTAGGCTGTATTATACAAAAGTGAAGCTGGGCTCTCCTCCAAGAGAATTCAACGTCCAGATTGATACCGGAAGCGACATATTGTGGGTTAATTGCAATACTTGCGGTGATTGCCCTCAATCTAGTCAATTGGAGGTAAAATTTTGATTTTGTTCTGTATTCATACTTGGTAAATAAAGTGACACTCTATAGCATAACTCCCTTCTTCTTTTTGGTTTTGTCATGCACTCTACAGATTCAGCTCAACTTCTTTGATACAGCCAGCTCATCCACATCTGCGCTGATTTCCTGCTCAGACCCAGTATGCACTTCCTCAACTCAAAATGCAGCAACTGAATGCACCCCTCAGGTTAATCAGTGCAGCTACTCCTTTCAGTATGGAGATGGAAGTGGAACGTCAGGGTTTTATGTCTCTGATGCCATGTATTTTGACATGATCCTTGGGCAGTCTATGTTGGCAAATTCTTCAGCTAAAGTTGTTTTTGGGTGAGTTCCTCAGCTTTTATTATTGAAGTTTGTGCTTATGCAGGGATCTGAAACATATAAAGGGCTGAGAGTAATTGGAAGGTCGGTTGAAGGAGCCCAGGTTTTGAAATAACGACTTCTTTTACCACTGAAAAGGTTTATATTTTGAGCTTTTCAAGCCGCGAATCTTGTAAAATTCTGGTTCAAAGTAATAGCAAATCCGTAAGTATAGTGAGTGGAAGTTAGGGGGATGGATGAACATTGGCAGGGTCTGATGGTCAATAAATGGGTTTCTGAATTCATGGAAGAGAGGGAAAACCTATGGACCCTCGTCTTTATTCTTGGAGTTTATCTACACCTTTTTCCAATGTCTCTTTTTTTAGTTTCCCCCTTCATGTTAATGTGGATAACTGAAATGAGCTAATGGTCGTCCTGGGAACAGGTGTAGTACCTATCAGTCTGGAGATTTGACTAAGACAGATAAAGCAGTGGATGGAATTTTTGGGTTTGGCCCAGGTGCTCTATCCGTTATTTCACAATTATCATCACGAGGCATAACCCCCAAAGTATTTTCTCATTGTTTAAAAGGAGAGGGTAATGGAGGAGGCATACTTGTTCTTGGTGAGATTTTGGAGCCAAGTCTTGCTTATAGTCCTCTTGTCCCGTCCCAGTAAGCCCTCTCTTGTGCTCTCTATCCTCTATTTTTTCTCTCAAGCTGTTGGGGATTTTGTTTTTTTTTGGCAGATCGCATCTTATTGATATGGAGGAAATGCCTAATTTGCGATCATTGCTCCAATAAATTCATGAAAACTAGCCATTTTCATGAGTGTCTGATGGGTAGTTGGACGTAAGTAGTTTTATATAATATAATGCAGTGCTCTGACTATTTCCTTAACCAAATTTCAGGCCTCATTACAACTTAATTCTTCAAAGCATTGGTGTTAATGGACGAATTCTCCCTATTAATCCAGCAGTTTTTGCAACGTCCAACAACCGAGGAACCATAGTGGATACGGGTACAACCTTGGCATACCTTGTTCAAGAAGCATATGATCCTTTGGTCAATGCTGTAAGTTATTAGGTTCTTCTGTCAATAAATCTCTGTCAACAGATAAATATACACGTACATTATCCTGTGTTATAATCAGTTACGCTACAGAATAAGTAAAAAGAGAGGGGTATTTGTGTCTCGCTTTCTATTCTCTTGGGTGTTATACACTTCTATATGAGGCGTTTCTTGTTTTAAATCTGATTGCAATTTCCATAATCCATGATGAGGATTTTTTAATTGTTAGTGAATAACAATGAAGCCTGAGAAAGTAGTTCTCATTGTGGCACATTTACGTTCTTAGCCTCACTTGACTTTTGTTTTATCTGATATATCCTGAGATCACAGATTGATCATTTTGTGTCTAGAATCAGGCCTTTTGCCCACAAGTTAGATGCAGATAAATTTCACATGCCTTTGACATAAATTAAATTAAATTATTTTTCATTTTAAAAAACTATGGTTTAATGTAAATCTGGGGGTTAGATACTTCAAAAATTAAACACCATATCGAAGTCTACTTTCTTATCCTCATCATCATTATTATCTTTCAAGTAGGAGTGTGTGTGAGTGGGGGGGGGGGGGTTTTAGGTTTTTATTTTATTTTATTTTTTTTGTTTTGGGGGGGGTGTTCCCTTTAGCATTTGTTGAGGTTTAGTCCTGATTCATCTGGTGTTACAAGCAAATGAATTGATCTTACCTACACTGCCCAGTGATGTTATGTTTCTTGATGAATATGCAGATAACTACCATTGTTTCGCAGCATGCCACTCCCATCATTTCAAAAGGAAGCCAGTGTTATTTGGCCTCAACCAGGTTATTTTTGACCTATTTTCCGTAAAGATCTAGATGAAAGCATACGTTTAAAGGTTTTTTTAAAATTTTTCATTAAAATTTTGCTTGTTATTTATTCAGTGTAGGTGATATATTTCCTTCAGTCACTTTGATCTTTGCTGGTGGAGCATCCATGGTTTTAGAACCAGAACAGTACCTTATGCGTAGTGATTTCATTGTAAGTGTCTTGGTTTCTGTGTTTGACCTTATCTTGCATCTTTCCTTACTTATGGATGGGACATTCTGATCAATTGTAGTCCCTTGATTATACCCTGATGTGCCATTTAATCTTAACAGGATGGCGTTCCAGAGTGGTGTATTGGTTTCCAGAAAGTGCAGGAGGGAGTTTCAATTTTAGGAGGTTGGAACTTGAGCAAGATTGTTTCGATAGAATAAAGTCCTCATAGACTGGCAAAAATGAGTGCTTTCTCTCAAAAAACAAACGACTACTTGGAATGCATATGATGATAGAAGTTGGTTTACTTTGTGCTTGTAAAAACACGATTGCAAATCATAAATTGCCTTTCCATGTTTATTTTTCTCATTTATGCATCTATCGTATTGAATCTTCAAGTACGCTTCTTTATTTTGAAGTATTGAGTTTATCAACTTTCTTGTTTACAAATTTGCAGATCTTGTGCTCAAAGATAAGATATTTGTCTACGACTTAGCTCGTCAACGAATTGGATGGGCCAACTATGACTGTAAGTTCAAAACAGGACTCTTGTTTGCCTGCGGGGAATATATATGATTCCTTACTAAGTCGTAACTTGGAATTGCTGCCCAGGTTCTCTGTCTGTGAATGTCTCTGTGACCACAACCAAGGATGAGTACGTTGTTGCGGGACAGCTGAGTGTGAGCAGTTCAGAGTCAGACATTCTCGCTAAGTTGCTGCCTTTAAGCATTGCAGCTTTCTTTATGCACATAGCGGTTTTCTGGAAGCCCCAGTTTTTGTGATCCAAATACGAGGTTCAAAATTTCATTCTTTCTAGCCCACTGCGAAATTTGGGTTGCTGATGTTTTTATTTATTGTCGGTGAACCCATCTGATGATGTGGTTTGGAAATTTAGCTGTGTTGGCTCTGTATTTATTCTGCTTAGCATGCTTGCTATGGGGCATCTTGTACCCATCCTGCCAAGATTAGGATCTCACTGTAAAGGAGCTCTGTTGAGAACTGCCAGAATTGTATATTATCTCTCGCGGATGTAGTTTTACTAAATCATACTAAGCGTATATAGAAACCACGGATGGTATTCGAGGGGGGAAATGTGCATCTAAAATTTCATTTTTGACACTGGCAGTGCTGTACACCTATCTTCCCAGCCATATCGTGATCCGCTGAGGCTTTTTTCGGTGTCTTGCTTACGGCTTACCTAATGATTCAAGCGGAAAGGATGAAATATCAAGAGCTAGCTAGCGATTATGGTTTCTCTTTTTTTTCTTTTTCTTTTTCTTTTTTACTAAATCGTTAATTTATTTATTTCTTGTACTTTGCCTGGGGCAATTTCTTGCGAGCTTCCCCCCCCCCATTATTATTATTATTATTATTATTATTATTATAATAATAAAAAGAAATCCACTTGCAAGTTGATGATGCCTTTCTTGTAAGGTGATTCTGGCGACGTGTGGTGACAGGTAACTTTGGGCAAACGTGTCCAAAACCATCTCATAAGGTGATACCTCATTTCACGATAGGCTGTTGCACCATCCGAAAATACTCTATTATGATGGCGTGTTTGATATGAAACTAAAAGCTCACTAAATTACTGGGTATCAATCTAAATTTATTCAATCCATGGAAGTAAAATAGAATGCTAGTAAAAAAATTTCATTACATTTGGAAAAATTGCAATAAGGTCTTATACAAGTAACATATTTATAAAAGCAGTCTCATAATAAATGAGGAGCTTATAATAACAAGTTATAGAACAGTTCAGGAAAGATAAGAATTTTGTCTACGACTCGGGTCATCAACGAGCACTGGGTGTCCTCACTGCTCACTGTGATTATAAACTATAAAGCTCCCCACGCGACTCTTGCTTTGCCTGCCCGGGTTCTGTGTCTGTGAGCAGCTATGACCACAGCAAGGATCAGTACCGATAATTTTAGGAAACATTTGAGCAAAGGACACTGAGATAATGACATTTATTGGAGAATATTTATTAAAAAATATATGATTATTTAGATGGACTAAGTATCTCTGCATAATAAATATTACTCCTTTCTCTTTTTATTATAAGCACCTGAAAATAACTTTGCATAGATTAATAAAATTAATTAAAATTGCTTATTTTTGTAAAATATCGAAATTTTCATCAATCAAACAAGTTTAGCTGACTAGTTAGGGGGGTTTTCATAGTTTTGACAGGCATGAGGAAATTCTATGGTTAGTTGGCAATACTTTGTAAAGGGAGTAGCAGTCTTAGATATTTCTCTATAAATTTTCCGATCCTTAACTTGCAGGGTACTAGTAAATTATATCATTGACAGCCTTGAGATATATGCAATCGTTGTTAGATACCGTCCGGATATTCGTACAATAAATTTAATCCAAATTGCATGAAACTGAAATTTAATAGTGGTGATTTATACTCACGCATACATGCATTCTCTATAAACTTGTAAAATGACTTTTTAGAGCTGAATAAATAATTAACCCATTAGATATTATAGTATTAATTAGATAATTAGACGCATCTTTTCTTTCCATTTCTTATAATCTAAAAGATAAGTTATGCTATTAAGAATATCGTATCTTATAATATATTTTATATTATATCCTGATACTGATGATTTCTATTATCAAATATAATATCATGTCTCAAATAATTTGTTGTTTTTTGCCAACGAATAATTTGTTACTTTTTATTGAGCACAGATTTGTTGGTGTTTCTACTTATTTTTTACATTCACATCTAATACTTCAAAGGAGTAATATTAAGAATTGCTGGTTAAAAAAAAGGAGTAATAGTAGAATAGATTAATATACTAGTGTTTAATAAAAAATATATAATATTTAAATTTAACATATTTAAATAATTAATGTTATTATTGCCTAAGGCACACAAAATGATAGAAATAGAATATAAAAAATCTCAAAGCATCTGATTTGTTTAAAAACATTAATTACAGTAATCTTAACTTGGAAAATAACAAATAAAGAGCTAATTTTACTTCAAATACGAAGAAAACAAACAAAAAGTGGTAGCTTGTGCAAATCCTGATATATGGACTATGATTTGTGGATCTATGAATTTATTTGACTTTTTATTTGCCCTTTAATAGTATATTTTTGGAATAGGTTATTATCACCATTCTTTTGAAAAAATGATTCCCACATTTTCTAATTTTATGGTCATTGTTAGTGTAAAATAAAAAGTAAAAGCCCATGAGATAGGATCGCTGTCATTGACCTGAGAAGTTGGTTTATGTGGCGAGAATTACCATAAGTCAGAGCCGAAAAGGCATTCCACCATTCCTAAGCCCGAAAGCAATCCGTGCTTGCAACGCTCTTGACGCGCGCGTGGCCAGAAACCTACGCTCGCGCAAGCCCTGATGCTGAACGGCCCAACCTCCTGCGTCCATGCAAAAATCCTCACACCACCTTCTCCCTCTGCATCTTTCTCTTCTTCCCCTCTCTCTCGCGCTCGCTCAAATCACACTCGCCTTCGTTTTCTCTCACTAACCCAATCAAAATTCTCTCATTTTTCATTTCTTGCCTTCTCTTTTCTCTCTATTCCTCAACTTATTACTCACATTCGTTCTCTCTCTCTCTCTCTCTCTCTGTCTGTGACAAAATTCGTTATTTCAAGATTTCAACACTGCCAAATTTTCTTTGTTCTTTATCTGCGCATACATAGCTGCTGTTATCAGATTTCGGAAGCAAATACTGCTGGGTTGATTTGGAAGAAATCCTTGTTTTCTTTCTCTTCTCCTTTCTAGCTACGAGCGAGCGTTAGGCGTTTCAATTGATCAATGGCGAATACAACGTTGGTCGCCGCCACTCCTGCTTCCCTTTACGTCGGCGATCTCCACCCTGACATCACCGATGGTAAGCTGTTTGAAATATTCTCCGAATTCAAGAGCCTTACTTCTGTTCGGGTCTGTAGGGACTCCTCTACTGGCAGGTCGCTCTGTTACGGCTACGTTAACTTCGTCTCTCCTCAAGATGGTAATGAGTTCTCTTTTGGTTTAACGATACCCGTTCAATGAAGCTACCCGAATGTTTTGTTCTTGTTTTTTTTAAAAATCAAGTTACTGGTTTTTTGCGCGGCATTGTTTCTTAGCATGGTGCGTCTGCTGTTCTCGCAGCGGATAATAATATAATACTAATGTATTATAAAGAAATCAAATCAAAAGACATGGGGACCGCTAGTCTCTCATTTCTTGGTCCCTTAGTTTAATGGAGGTTAAAGAGGCTTGGCTTGATTGATATATTAGACCTTTTTCAAGAAACTTCTCTTCATTTCGATCTTTCTTGGCCTTGTACCATGCTTTGCGCTGTATAAAAAATGACGAGAAGCGGGCATTGTAAACCGCATTCATTTGTCACATTGTCGATCTTAAGTTAATCTGGCTGAAACTCAAAATTTAACAAGAATCTCATGGATAGTTTTGTTTTCTTTACCATGTTTTGTCTTGTTAGAGAGCTGTCACCCGAGAACATAAGGTTCCAATTATCCTCGGGCACATGGATTTGTCTTCGTCTTTCTGCGCGCGTGCTTGCATGTCTAGCATTCTCTCTGATTTGGTTAGATGTTAGAAAGGAAATATCATTTTACCATTGCATCTTTAACTAGAAAGTTTTTGTTGATTCTTTTAACTGTTGCGCTTAAGAATGCGCGTTTCCCATGCTATTATATACCCAAACTTTTCTGATTAAGTTATATTACATTTCTATATAGATTATAGATTGTGATTTTCTGATTTCTTGGTGAAAGTAAAAATACTGAAGATATATACCTTAATTTGTTCTCTTTGGATTCGAGTAGCAATTCTTGCTATTGAGGTGAAGAATCATTCAATACTGAATGGAAAAGCAATAAGGATCATGTGGTCAAATCGTGATCCTGATGCAACTAAAAGTGGCAAAGGGAATTTGTTTGTTAAGGTATGTATTTACAACTTTTAAATGAGATAATTAAATCGTTGTTTGGTTCCCTATTTTTCTGAAGTGGATTCTTATGAGAAGGTGTTTCTGATACCATGGCAGAACCTACATGAATCTATAGATAATGTGGGATTACAAGATTTGTTTCAAAAGTTTGGTGTTATTTTGTCCTGCAAAGTTGTCATGTCTGACGATGGAAAAAGCAAAGGATATGGCTATGTTCAATTTCAGTCAGAGGAATCTGCAAATTCTGCCATCGAGAGGATGAATGGCTCTACTATTAAAGACAAGCAAATGTAAATGAAACTCTGCTTTGTTTATTAGTACGATAAAGCATTTTTTTTACCATGACAAGCTGCCGTATTCAATTTATGTATAAGATTACTTCCAGAGATTAGGCTTAATGTGTTTTCTATTGTCACAGCTATGTTGGAAAGTTTGTCAAAAAAAGTGACCGCATTTTGCCAAATCCTGACGCGAAATATACAAATTTATATTTCAAGAATTTAGACCCCAAAATTACTGAAGAGGTTCTACGGGAAAAGTTCTCGTCTTTTGGGAAAATTGTCAGCTTAGTTATCGCGAAGGATGACAGTGGGATTCCAAAGGGTTTTGGCTTCGTAAACTTTGATAACCCAGATGATGCCAAACGGGCGATGGAAGGAATGAATGGATCACAACTTGGTAGTATGTTTATCCCTTGTTCTACCAAGAATTTCTGTCGGCAAAATCTTGCTGTTTGGTGTTAATCTCCAATATCATATGGTTTTGGTTTGTAATAAGCAGGTTCAAACAGTCTATACGTAGCCAGGGCACAAAAGAAGGCCGAGCGTGAGCTTCTTTTGCACCATCAGTTTGAGGAGAAACGCAAGGAACAAATCTTAAAATACAAGGTATGCCATGCCCCCTTTTGTGACGATTTATCCTGCCATTTATTTTTTCTGATGGCACACTACGTCTTCATTTAACGTCCAGGTCTCAAATGTTTATGTGAAGAACATTGATGATGACGTAAGTGATGAAGAACTACGGAATCTTTTTCGTGCATGTGGCTCAATAACATCTGCAGTAGTCATGCGAGATGGCAAAGGTATAAGCAAGGGGTTTGGTTTTGTCTGCTTCTCCACCCCTGAGGAGGCTAATAAAGCAGTGAACACCTTTCATGGTAAGTTGGTTATAAGTGTAGATGAATGGATTTTAACAGGGTGAATTATGGCTTACAGCATAACAATTTCATAGATCTTCTGTTCATGTACTTTACAATTTATACTCCGTTCCGCCATTTAACATTATCACATTATCCATGAGGTACTCTTTACATGCATATGTACTAGCTGTTTGTTTATGGCGCCGCATCTACAACTGGGCAATCTCTACAAGAATAAAATTCTTCTTCCTCCTCCTCCTCCTCTTCTTCAAATGCGCATAGGGCGTTTTTTGAAGTCTGGCGCCATGTGCCCATGTTATCAACTGAGTAGACCGTTAATTAAACTCTCAGTTTTAACTGTATTTTACGAAACATAAAATGTTCAATCGAGAGCTGGTAAATTTTTATGGTGCGTGGCATAGTCAATCCTATAACTTAGTGCGACGAACAAACTTGTAAACATTCTGTCTCATGGTAGTATTGCTTTGATATGCGGATGTATAACCAGAAATTCTGATGACGCAAATTTGCATCCTTCCCTAAATAATGAATCTTGAAGTATCTAATGCGAGTTTTATTGGCAATTAGTATTCCCGTTTCCATTTACTATCTTTATGTTGACAGTGCTTGCCTTTACGGCGTTGTTATAGTTACCTTTAAATTGATCTACATGTGTGTGTGTCACAGGATATATGTTTCATCGCAAACCATTATATGTTGCTATTGCTCAAAGGAAGGAGGATAGGCAAGCACAATTGCAGATTCAGCATGCACAGCGAATGGCAGGACTATCTGGACCTTCAATAGCTGTTATTCCTGGCGGATATTCTCCTTATTATTATGCAGCTACCGGCGCCGTTTCACAGGTTCCTTCTCGACCTGGGCTAATGTATCAACCTTTGGGGTTGACACAAGGATGGAGGCCTAACAGCTTTGCACCTCCTACCAGACCATTTCAACAGCCACTAGTTCCTATGGTGAGAAAATCTTTTCTTACAAGCTCAATATATCATTACCCCCCCCCCCCCCAAAAAAAAAAATCTTACACTGACAAATCTTTTAAAGTGGAAATGCATTTGTTTTGCATGAGATAAATCATTACAATTTTTTTTTTGGGTTGAAGAAATCATTTTTTGGTGGCACCTCTGTTTCCCCTCAATTCACAGGTTTCCAATGCTACAAGGCAAAATAGGCAAAACAGGGGCAGGATGAATGGGCAAACAATTGCTCAAGGAAATCTTCACTCTGGTACACATATGCCACAATTGCGTCAGCCTTTTCAGTCGGTGAACTCTTCAAAAGAATTAAGTACACAACAGGTTTGGTTTTGTTAGCGAATGAAGTTTTTTACGCATTTGCCAAGATGTCTTATCTCTTCTGGGACTGCACATTCCCTCCCCAAACATCCTAAATTTCTATTTTCTTAATCTTCATACCTCTAACTTGTACTGTTTAAGGATTTTTTTGGGGATCATTTTGCATTCCTTGTTTTCTGATATGGTCTTGTGGGGGTGCTTCTTATTTCACCGAGCTTCTGACCTTATATTGAATCTGAAATCGGGGAGTTTCTCATTGTAGTCATAATCGTCCTTTTATCTGAGGCTGAAATGAGGGAAGACTAAGGAACCAGTAATAAACGGTGCAATATGCTAGCGATTATTATAATATTTTCTTCACTGTCTTGATTCACCTCAGAAAACATAAAATCGTGCCGTCGATGCTAGTTTGGTATCTAACATTTCGCGCTTTGCAGCGAGCTGGGCCTACAAAGTATGTGCCCAGTGGGCGCCAGCCTGAAATGGAGAAAGCATCTGGAGTCTCCTCTGTTGGTAGCTCTTCTGTAGTATCTTCGGGATCAGAAATGCTGCATAGCATGCTTGCTGCTGCCACTCTAGAGCAGCAGAAACAGATACTGGGCGAGCATCTATACCCTCTAGTCCATAAACTCAAGGTGAAACCGATGCACTACTATTCTCTTTTGTTGCTTTGATTTAAGTTAACTGCAACGATTTGTCTCTTTTGCATCTTTGACAGCCCGGCTTAGCAGCCAAGATTACAGGAATGCTTTTGGAGATGGACAATGGAGAATTGCTGCTTCTCCTAGAGTCTCCAGAGTCTCTTACTGCCAAGGTGGAAGAAGCCGTGCAGGTGCTTAAGAACTCTAAGACCAAAGTTTCTGGCCAGGATATACTTCATCCAAATTTCCTCTCAGCCGAAGTTGCGGTAAACTGAATACTTCATCCAGGAGATAATTCTTAGTTGGAGGAGTGGATGGTGGGGCCAAGGCTTCTCAAGAGCTGCATATTACATCCTTTGATTTGGGACCATGGACCTTGCAGTATCTCTTCTGCCTTTTATTACCTTTTTGGACAAGACATTTTTTTTTTTCAAAAATCTTGCTTAGGCTGACTCTTAATCATTTAGTATTTGTAGTGATGGAATGGTTCAGAGATGAAGTTGTCTTGGTTTTTATTAGATTCAGATGGACTAAAAGGAAACTTGGGGAAATCTATTCTGCACATTCAAACGCTGAAAATGCATTTGCTCGAAAATAAAAAATATTCCTTGTGGGTTGGAGCTTCTTGTTTCCGATCATGTGAAATATTCCTTGTGACTCTTTAATTACTTAAAGGGGCCAACCAAACACTTGAAAGAGATTTTGTAGGGCGTTAGCATTATCCAGCATGAGTTTTATAGGAAATTAATCGTTATGCAATGCACCAAACAAGTATTCATGCAAGGATGCGACGCCTTGCACTATGCCTCCGCGTCGTTATTACGTGCAGTAACAATACCCGTTGAAACCTAGGAGAATGAAAATCACAACATTCAGGTGGAAAAAAAGAGAGAGAGAACATTACTCCTTGATTTTTATCATCAACGCAAGCAACTGGCTAATTAAAGATTTTCAATTTCATCAGAAATACTTGGAAACATGAATAAAATTTTAAAAAAATAAAATAAAGTGAAGACAATTTATTACAATAACCACTCATTTTTCTGTTGATGATAGCATACTCGATCAAAAATAGGGCGAATTACATATCCATATATGATATTCATTATTCTTGTGAATTGGAAATTGACGTCTCTGCTGGGGAAATATGAAAAACCCTCGAAATTAGAGGTCTTTCTACCCCAACCGCCAAGTTCGGTATGCGCATTTTGATGCGAGGGTCAAAGTTTGTTGAGGGGTGGTTTGCATGGCTCACGCACTAGAGCAAGACCGTCTAGCCGGAACCGGACGTTCCTCTGTTCCGTATGAAACAAAAGGCCTACCTTTGTCTTGTGCCTTCAACTTGGCCTTTTCGCTGCCTTCCACCCACCTCTTGAGCCTCTTAATCAATTTTCTTCTCCTGGAGCAACCACCACTTGCTCCATTGCTATGAGCAGCACCATTGCCAGGCAAAGGAGATTCTTCTAATTCTTGCTCTGACTCATATTTAATCATTCCCCCGCGTCCTTCAAATTCCAGTTCGACGTGGTCTCCTTCCTGTGTCCGCTCTTGATGTCGTTGCTCATGCATTCTAATCAGCTCGTGCCTCAGGCATGCATTGTTCCACCGCAAGTAAACCAGCTCTTTCACTTCACCTGCTCTTTCCTTCTTCTGCTGTTCCAACTCTTTCAGAAGCTGCTTGTACTCTTGCTCATTTGGATTTTCTGCTTCAATCTGCCAATGGCAAACGCTTTCAATGACCTCGCTAACAGTACTTCAATTTCACTATGCTTTATACTGAGCATTTCTATCTTTATGTTTTTATTTATCCATTTAGCCGGTTGCTTACCTTGGACGCGGATGATTCCTTCGGTGTTTCAAGCTTCGTTAGAAGTTCATTCTTTTCGTCCTGCAACTCGTACAAAATCCTTTGCATCTCGTTGATTTCATCCTCCGATTTATTGATAACATTGATTTTTGTCCGCAGCGCATCGCGGATTCTGATTATTTCTTTTCTTGGGCCTTGATAATCAAGTTTGCTCGTGACCGAGGCGAGATTGTGCTTCTGATTTTCTCACTAGCTTCTTAACCTTCCTCCGAAGCAATCTATTCTCTGATTTCCACTGCTCAAGCTGTTCGATGATGTCCAGATATTGGACAACGAATGTCTCCAACCTCTTGTTCTCTGCCTCCATTGACGAAATTTCCTTATCATAGAAATCAACGCGAGCACTCTCCAGGGACAGCAAATTTCGGATTTCCATAAGCAGAGACTCTTTCTCTTTCAAATCACAGAAATGGTCAAATTGCAACCGTAACACCAACTCCCTCAATTGCAGATCTTCAACCCGGCTTCGTAGGCCATTAATCTCTTGTTCGAAACACGGGTAGTCATGAAGAACGGAGGTTCCTGTAAGAACTCTGGTATCTTTAGGTGTAGGAACTTCTTCTTCCATAGAAGCAAGGCTATGATAACTTCTTCACGTGTAATCCCTTGCTGAGAATCAGTTTCTGAGGAATTTACTCTAGTTCCTGATGAAGAAAAGGCCTTAGATAGGCTTTTCTTTGACAGGATCCAGGCGTAGATGAACCCAGCGAAAGATACAGCTAAAGGAACACCTGCTTTGAGGATTACAGGCTTTAAAACATCTGTCTTAGATGATGTGCTTTCCATTAAGACGATTGAGATGTTTCAGCGATTGGTAAATGTGTTTCCTGATGAAAGCCAAACTGAAAATGCTCAGAAATTCTGAATTTGATCCTTGATATTGTGACAAAAAGGTTTGAGTATGTTTTATAATTTGAGGCCATGTGTTCTTGCTTGTCCTTTTTTTAGAGGAGCAGTGATCTGTAGCTTTATGACTACTCCACCATCATCTCCCTTTCTACACGCTCTTTGGAATTTATTCCTTTCCAGATTACTCAATGCTATAGCCTTTGCCTTTTGCAAATTGATGTTTTTTATGTTTTGCTGCTTTTCTTTGACGGTATGTTCAAACAATTGTATAAGTTCCCTTTGCATCATAAAGGACTTGAGACTCAGATAGATTATATTTATTGAGGCCTTGAGGGAAATTAGCATAATTATAAATTAGGAATTGAAAAATATAGTCTGATCTTTTGAACATAATCCTCTTTTACCTTTTCTTTAATACACAACAGATACGCAGAGAAGATGGCTCCCACTACGTCCCATTGTTAGATATCTAAAATAACTAAAAATATACTCTAGCTGGATACTTCCTTGTCAACCGTACTGATCATTTTCAAAGGCTGAACTGTTTTTTTGCACATCTTCTAATAGTCCTTGTGAAAAATAACAAGAACTCTGGTTGGAGTTTGAAGCAATTCCTCAAAATTTCTGGGTATTGTACTGTTGCAGGACTTGCAAAGCTTCTCTGATGCCTTCCAAAAACATCTTTGCATTGATACAAACATAAAAAATCTTCTAGTTTTTTCAATTTTCATTTACCATAATGCTTGGTGTCTAGTAATACTCATTCAAATCTGAAGTATGAATGTTCGCTATGATTATACATGTTTTGCAAAAGCAATTAGCAGATTTAGTGGTTTCCAATTAGATACACAAAAGCTGTTTCCTTGTTTTCTCTTGTATTATAATTAAAATATCATTATTGGAGCCTTCTTTTAGTGTACCAGTCATCTTTCCGTTTTATGGGCTAAAGCATTGCCCACCACTTGAAGATGCCCACTTCGGTGCCTCGTGGCTTGTGCACAGAGCCACTCACAATGAAGCATAGACGTTCCCCTTAAAAAACTCTAGGGTGTTTATGCTTTGCTTTCGCCAAATAATTATCTTCACTTAATCCAATATCAATACCGTTATCTAACCAAAAATGATGACAACTTTGGTTAGAGAGACTGAATCAGAGGACAAAATCATGGAAATCTCAGATGCTGTTGAACTTGCTTCTTGACACGTCAGTAGGCAGCTTTTTCAGAATCATTGCTCTTCCTGATATCTGTTATTTCACTTTGACCCTTTTTGGTTTCTTTTAATGCTCCTCCACTGCTTGAATTCCCCGATCTGCCATTATCATCTTCAGTTAACCCGCAATTGTCTTCCCTGTTCACTTAGTTAAGTTTCTTATGGGGTGTTCAAGTTCCCTCTTGTTTCATTACTTGCTCTTCTGGGTTTCTCACTTGTCCATGGGGATCCTCTGGTTCCTGCGCTGATGATATTCGGAGACTCTGTGGTTGACGTGGGAAATAATAATAACCTCTTAACATTGGTGAAGGCAAATTTTCCTCCTTATGGAAGAGACTTTGTCACTCACAGACCAACCGGAAGGTTCTGCAATGGAAAACTTGCCGTAGATTTCACTGGTAAGTATGCGGTAGCATTTATAAACACAGTATCTTTTCCTTAACCTTCTCTTTGAAAGTTATGCTTTATTCTTTCTTTCTTTTCTCAGCTGAATACCTCGGTTTTACTTCATACCAACCGGCTTATCTAAGCCAAGAGGCTAGAGGGACGAATCTTTTGATAGGAGCCAACTTTGCCTCTGGTGCTTCTGGTTACCACGACGGGACAGCAGCTTTATATGTAAGTTAGATATCTTAAAAGCATATATTTTCTGTCCAAATAAACATTATCATCCTCCTCTCCTTTTTTGCTCTCGTAGGGGGCGATTTCTTTGACTCGGCAGTTGAAACACTACAAGGAGTATCAGAGAAAAATTGTGAATATGGTGGGAAATGCTAGGGCCAATGAGATTTTCTCAGGTGCGATCCACCTTATTGGTGCTGGAAGCAGTGATTTTATCCAGAACTACTACATTAATGCCCTTCTGAATCGAGTCTACTCGCCTGATCAATTCTCAGACATTCTCATGGCATCCTACACTAATTTCATTCAGGTTTGTTTACTTTTTTCATTCGTCCTCTCCTTTTTTTTTTTTGGGGGGGGGGGTGGTTGGCGCAATTAGCATCATCATGTCGTTCTTGGCCCCAAAAACAGCATGATATCGTCATTTTGCAATTACATCTCATCCTGGATTAATGGCTTAATTTGCGCGCGGTTAATTTTAAAGTATTGTTAGAGAAAATGCATAAAAGTTACATTAAACATTTAGAATATGTTTAATTAAGACCACTCCCCAAGAAAAAGTAAGCATACATAGATTAGTTTTGTGATATTTTAAAAAAAATAATACTCATGATTTCAAGTTAAAATTTTTATATTTTGCCAAAAAAATTATTTATATAAATATTTTGAATTTTAAAATCATTGTAAAAAAAAAAGTTTATTATTTTTTTAAGGTACTGGTATGCTCCTATTTGAGACAATCCGTTCAAAGTACTATCAGATACTAAATGTGAGTATTCAAACTTTAATTCATTATGTTGTGGGGATTAATTCTTTCTTGCTGGAACAACCTCCTATGGTAAAGAACTAAAGATAACAACTTTATAAAATTTTCTCACAATTTAAATATGAGGCCTCTTTCGGTAGCACCATACCAAAAAAGCCTTTTAAATGGTCCAAATTATTTTATTGACCTGCCTGCCTCTTTTGGGCCAAGGATCCGTCTTTATTGGATTGGCCGGATTGATCTGATTAATCAACATGTTTATGTATACTTAATGTATTAATGATCAATGAGTTTTCTAAACTTGATTTATTACTAATGAATTCCCTGGAGAACCTGTGTAAAAGCGAATTGTAAATTTCTAAATTTGACTCATAAAATATTAAAAAAAAACATAATTCTTCCCAATTTTATGGGTTTGGGTTTAACTAATAATTTTACAAGTTCTCCTGTAGCATTTAGGGAAAATCCTTAAAAAATTATTGTTAAAATTTTAAAATTTCAAATTAGAAATTATTACAAAAATGTGTTATCATTTATTTTTTTAATGTAGTTATTTTCTTTACGAGTGTAGTAACTAAAACTGATTTAGAATTTTAAAATTTAACTGTCATTTTTTTTAGAATTTTTTCTAATATTTACGAGTCATATTTAGACATTTATAATTTATGTTATTTCATATGTTCTGCTAGAGCCCTATGAATAATTAGTTCCTTACTGATGATTTATCTGTAAATTTTTTCTTTTAAGAAATTTAGTAAAAATAAGTTTCAGCCAAAAAAAGATGGTTAAAAATAAGAGACTTTATACAGCATAAAAAAATAATTCTTGATTCTTATTTTGGCGGGGACACTCTTTTCTCGACGAGATTTCGCATCGCTCGTGGGTTCTCACTTCCCAAGAAGAGAGTGGTCGCCCTTCATGCGTAATTGGCTTGCAGAGAGAAAATTATTACAATCATTTAGTTGTTTAACAATTCAGACATAAAGAAAACGGGGTTTTAAGACTAAATTTATTGGCTTAGAATATATCACTATAAAGACTATTTTAAAAAATAAAAACATAAGAATTAAATTTTCTAAAACAAATGCCTCATTTATATTAGAATTAAAATAAAAACCAAACAATCTTTTATATTAGGACTAGAAATAGGGTAAGATCTATAAAGACCAAATGGTTCGACCTTAAATAATGATTGGTTAAGGTTGACTAGTCTTTTATGTTCCGCCATGATTAAGGTGATGTGTTCACACTAACCTAAAAAACACTATGGATGTAAAAACCAACAAAGATAACTAGTAATGTCACAGCAATGATCAAGATTTTCGATGTTACACTGCACCATAAACAATTAGGCATAGCTGGCAGGCTAAGGCCTCTGTATAACAATTCTATATGAACATGCAACAAGAATCTGTATGAACTGGGAGCAAGGAGGATGGAAGTAACCCGTTGCCGCCAATTGGTGTTTGCCTGCAGCCATACTTTATTTTTGGCTCCGGAAGCAACCAGTGTTTGCCAGACTGAACCGCCGATGCCATTTCGTTTAACGATAAACTAAAGAGCACTTCTCAGAGTTGAAGAGCAGACTTCCTCGTATAAAGCTGTGGGTGTTTGATATCTACCAGCCTCTGTGGATCTGATTACCAGCCCCAGTGACAGCGGTATGTACCTGACAATGAGCCCCAAAACTATCTACATACTCATGAATAGGTGGATATTCTTCAATTACAAAAAATGTGAGCAACATTCCAAAGATGAATGTTAATCGGTCTAGAGGGATGCATATTAACGGTCACAAAATCAAAGATTACCAATTTCTAAAGTTCACGTCTCTCACCGTAGCACCACAAAATTTAAGCTTTACCAGCCCCAGTGACAACGGTATGTACCTGACAATGAGCCCCTAAAACTCATCTACATACTCATGAACAGGTGGACTATTCTTCAATTACATAAAAATGTGAGAGCAACATTCCAAAGATAGAATGTTAATCGGTCTAGAGGGATGCATTAACGGTCACAAAATCAAGATTACCAATTTCTAAAGTTCACGTCTCACCCAGTAGCACACTAAAAATTTAAGCTTTGCCAACAAGATCATACTACCCCACCTCACTCTCCTATGCTGAGAAAATAAAACTCCCCATTTAGTGATTTATACTTCTGTGGTTACAGGATTTTTTGAAGCAAGAAAGGCCTGCTGTGGTACTGGAATAATAGAAACTTCCTATCTCTGCAATGCAGTGTCTGTAGGAACGTGTGCCAATGCTACAGAGTACGTGTTTTGGGATGGATTTCATCCATCTGAAGCAGCAAATAACGCGTTGGCAGATAATCTATTAGCGCAGGGAATATCCCTGATCACTTAGGCATTCCGAATACGACTAAAAATATTGCTCTCCAATGTTTTGGATGCTATGACAAATAAAATAAAGCTCCTATAATTGCACGTATAAAACAAAAATTGAGTAGCTGATAAGCAGTTATAAAACGGACATATTGGTTACCTGTTGCAAATTAAGAGAGTTCAAAGCCGGCATTTGAACTGATTGCATATAGAAGCTTTGTTCTCAACGTACTTGCACGTTTGTAGGTTGGAAGCTGTAATGATTGAAAAAATAAACAAATATTTGAACAATCTGACAACTGACAAGAGATGCCTTAAATAGCAAATGCCTTATCTCGGATGATGAAATGACTCCCACGACCATAAACACGTAGCTCATTATGGACTCCTCTAAGCAGTACCTTGAGGGTATTGTAGCACGTTGAAGCTGAAGGAAGCCGCTCTACATCTTGTCCTCCAAATGCCGCCCAAAGAGGGGACGTCACTGGCAACCTGTGTGAAATAGAAATGAAGTTTTCAACTCCGTTACTGGGTCACAATATCTCAAATAACGCAGGGACGGGGGTTTGAGAGGCGCATCACGTCAGTGTAGGGCCAAAAACCAGCTCAAACTAAGTACTCGTAATAATACTCCTCTGGTCCTTAATATAGGACGAATTCTTAGTTGGTTTTAGTCCTAAATATAAGACTCATTTCTCATATTTATCAATTTTCTCTAAATTACCCCTATAGATACTCCCTCAACATAATCAAGTAGAAAAGGAAGAAGAGAGGTATTAAGAAAGATGATTATGGTGTTTTAGGAAAAATGTATCACTTTTCATAATAATTTACCTAACTTTCTTAATATAATCAAATTAGTTAAATGAGTCTTATATTAAGGACCGGAGGAGTATCTCACAACGTCATAGCAACAAACCGCTGACCAGATCACACACAAAAGTGTTTCCAAAACATACATGTGTAGACTGGTCACGCGAATGAAAGATGACGCAACCATACAAAATGCAGTGATGATGAATGCATATACCAGAGATTTCCGTTGCGGATAAATGGCATGGTGAGAAGACAACTTTTTCAGCTTATAGTAACTTAAGCATTGAGCGCCAGATGAAATACAGCTAAGACTCCAATGTCCTTGAAAGTTGTGACAGATGCATTAAATATTACTCTTCCAATCTTTAACGATAGAGTTACTTAACCAATTAGGGTAAATCAAGAACGCTAAATTATTTAATTTAAAAAATGTCATGATCTTCCTAAAGTCCCCTTATGTACCATAGATATATCAGTTATAAGTTAAATAAATTAGTTTGGGAAAAAATGATAAACATGATAAATAAAATGAATTAAGATCTTATATCTAGAACCAAAATCAACTCCCTAACTAGCTTCTGCATTTAGGACCCGAGGAGTATCTAGGTCAACAGAAAATTAGAACAGTTTCTGGATGCTGTGCGCTTACTAGCTTCTTAGCATTTCACTTTCTGTGATAAATTGCAAGAAAAGAAAACCATGTCCTATAACATTAGAAGAAACAAGAAATTAAGGGATATCAAACGTGATAACAACCATACCTTGTGGATCGTAAAAGCTGGCTGTAAATATTTGAACCCAAGTAATGGTGCACGAGAACAACTAGTGACGAATTTAAGAAGCATACAACGTTCTTGGGGTTCAAAGTCTTTAATCACCTACACACCATAGGCCAAAAACTGAAAATGATTACTTATGACTCCGAATGGGCATCCACAGAATGAGATTATGTGAAATCCGCATATATGATCCGTGAGGTAGAAAATAAAAGTCAAAACACTCTGTTCTTCAGGAATAAACATGATTCAGAAATTAGCAGAGATTTAGAGAGACAAACAGAGGGAGAAGAGGGGATGGAAGGAGATGTCCTGGCAGCAGCCTCAAGATACATGAAAAGAAAGGAATAGGTTCCCTGCTATTTTAACCTGGAAGACTACAACATTGGTGCTTGCTAACGATCTAGCACGTTTTTCAGGAAGAAATCCATTAAAACCAAACTATGTAATTTTCTACAGAGAGAAAACCACTATTTTCATAGTAATGCCAGTAGTATGTCATATGACCATCAACATTGATCCATATAAATATTCTAAATGAGTTCTATCAAACTCGATTAACATTTGGTTTGACAAGAATCTTTAAAATAAACTATGTAGCTTTCTGCCAACTGCAAAATCACCATCCACCCAGTAATATCGTTCTGTAATGTGATTAAGAAGCCTATACACATTCGAGTTCTGAAAGGAAGTTATATAAACTTCATTTAAACAGTTGGTTTGGCATTAAACTGACTTCCATAATCATGATGATATTTCTTGAACGGTATACCAAAGTACCTATCATTTAACCCACAATTCTGACCAGATGTAAATCTCACTTGTCAAAAAGCTAGAAATGCAAGCTCTAACATAATAAAGGCAACCTAAGATATTGCCAAAGAGAAATGCTACTTACAGTCTCACACTAACTAACCCAGCACAATTATATTGAAAACATCAAAAAGGAAGGGGCATGTATTTGTTCCATCACGCCACCAATTCTTGCTCATCAATAGGAAATAAGAAATCCAAATCTGCCAACTTCCCAAAATAAGGTTGCGACATATTTAAGTTGCTTGATGAGAACAGCAAAGGTTACATGCAGCAGATAGAAAAGATGATGATGATGACCAAACATAAACTGCTGAAATATCTGAAGAAGAATATATGGTTTATGGATCGGGGGAAAACATGCATCCATGAAAACTAAAATAAGGAAATCAATTTATTAAGGTTTCAAATTCAATACCTCCCAGAATATCTTGACTGTCCGGCTTCCTTCATTATAACCACCCGTGTATCGTGTGTTATTTTTTAAATCATCATATCAATATCATACTTTCCACCTGAAAGCAACTGCATCATGGTATAATTCAGAACCTTCTTGTGAAAAAGAACTTATGAAAAGACATATTTCAGAAGATGATATAGCCCTGCCGAAGAAATAAACGAGGGAAAAAAATAATACTTTCAATTTGAATGAAATTGTAATAAAATTAAACCATATGGAAAAAGGATGAACAAAGAACTATCTATGCTCTCTATCGTTAGCATTTCTATTTACAGAATTTCAGTGCAAAATAAAACCGTAGAAAGAAAATACAACCTTATCCAGTGAAATACCTGATTAAATTCACTGGCATTGAATAACTTCAACCAGGATGGAGATATAAGATCAGTCAGTCCTCTATAGAATGCATTTGAGAAGGGCAATATCTGCAGTTCAACATAAGAGGTTCACCAATGATGCAGCAGGGATTTAGTATTAAAGTGAGTGACTCCAATAAGAAACAAAAGCTTATGATAAACCTGTTGATTGAGTTTGTAGTCTGCCATCGCATGTATGTACTGCATTTTGTTCTCATTCGTCACCACCAACATCTCTTTGCCCCCAGACCTCAGCTCAACAACATGCCATTTCCCAAATGATTCTTCAGTAACAGTGAAATCAAGAGAAAACTCCTTGACATCACCATCATATGCTGCTGCACCAAAGAATATGTGAAGCTTCCCGTATACTATAGAATGCAAAGATTATGCATACATGTAACAAAGGAATAAAGTGCCCTTGATGGCAACATTTTTCACAATGATGTAAACAGATAGATCCCACAAAATAAAACCAAAATTAATTACTATCAGGCTTGAGAATTTTGAAACTTGTCTTCAAAAATCCTTTTTAAGTTCTTTTTTTCCCCCCTCTTTTTGTAATTCATAAGGTCCTGCTATTACACCTACGACCTTACATGACACTTTGATAACCACATAATATTTACAGTCTGAACAATTTAGCATACCTAGTCTGAAGTGTAAATGGCCTAGTACACAATTCTATTATACACATCTTAGCCACCAAGAATCAGTTCTGTGAGTAAACAACATATATGCTATAATTAGACCTAGTTTAAAAGGCCCACAGCTGAACCAGACGCACATAGGAGAACAAACATTGTAGGTTGAAAGCCAACATCAAAACAGTGTTAAAACTTAATAAACAAAAATCCAGGCAATTAACAGACGCACTTTAAGTGCTCATGATAAATTGATTAAATTTGCTTAGCATTAATGACTAATTAATATAACCAGGGAGATAGAGGAAACAGTATGGATATGTCTCCTGATTTTTACCTTGACATACATAAGATTCCTATATAGCTCTGGATCAAGTGTTGATAACTCATCAAGGAAGCTATATCTCCCCAATAATTTCTGTACAAAAACGTGTGAGAAAGAGTAATCAAGTAATATTCCTTCATAAAGAGCTTTACCAACGACTCTTCCAAGAAACTCAATCATCTGAAGACCATTATCCAAAAATCTTGCAGAAGAATTTGGAATTAGAAGCCTGTCGGAGGTTGAGGTTTGGGAAAATAGCCCATATCTGAAACAAAGGAAAATTGTAATTACAAAGATAGCTCTATAAAGAGTAGATAACCATGTAACGAGAATAAGAAATGTCAGTGAAATGAGGAGCTGAACCTCCTGAGAAGGTGACCTTCCACTGATGGATTTCCTCAAGCTCTCACGAGGTAGAGCTCTCAATATCAAAAATCCAATAATAAAATACGAGACAAAGTCTATAACTTACTCGGGGCAAAGGCCGCTTTTGATATGTCAGTTAAAAATTCTTTTGATAAACCCACCATAATCCAGGCCAGCCTCAGGAAGGCCGCATTCACTCACAAAAGAAACATGGATGGATGACTTCAACCTTGTCCCAAGGGAATTTAGTTGCCGAAATCCATCTTCAACAATATGACCCCGACGTACTACTATCTCAATAGCTCGTGAACCAGGTTCAGAAACTTCCCCAGCCATTTTTCTGGAGGCTTTATCCATCTTAATGAACTCTCGAAACATCTCAACTCTATCAAAGTCATAATCAAATCATAAACCACTACACATCAGAGACCAGAAAGTATGCAATACAATTTCATTTTGTTGCCATATCACATGCAAAATAAATCACTCAACTCAAAAAAGAAATTGAAATCTAATCCCATAGCGTATTGCTTTCAAAACAATGTTTCTCTTCTTAAAATTCATAGGCTTTATAACAAAACCAAGATTTTTTTTCTTGTTATCCGTCCGTTTAGTGCTTTCTCTCCTGTGTCATTCAAAAAGTACCTATAGAATATGACAATGAAAAGGGAAAATATGTTAGATTGATTATCACGTAGATACCTCTCTTCAAAAGGGAAAACATGAGGAGTTTGTAGTGATAACAGAACCCATACTCGGGACAGTCAATGAATCATCATATCTTATGTTGACTGATGAAATTTCACGAGTTCTGGCAGCCACTGCAATAGGAGGTCGGTTTTTTCTAGCAGGGGAAAGCCACAAATCAGGAGGACAAAATTGATGCCGACAATTCCTTCATACATTAAATGCAAGCATCTGATAGCGCAGTCCATGAGGGGTCTATTCTGCTCACTAATACCATGGGACAAGCCATTATACACGAGAGTATTGAGAAGTGATGCAATTCTTCGTTGCTTCTCTAATTTAAATGGAACCTAGAGATATCCGAAAAAAGGGAAAAGCAGGTTTAGTTTCTGAGTGTGAATCAAAACATTCGCATGAAAAGGTTGGGGCAGACCAAAAAGTAACCAAGCAGTTACCTGTTTCTCATAGAACTCTATGTCATCAAGAACTAAAAGTAGGTGAGAATATGTGGCACAGAATATATGAAGAACAGCAAATGTTTCTTTAGAAATGCCTGTGGGACCACGCCTCATAGGCTCTATGTCCCCATACATCAGATTGAATCTTCATTCGTTGGCTTGCTCAGGATGACAGCTGATGGGTTC